AGGCGAGCAAGGCGGCGGCATGATAGTGAGTGGTTCATTAGTTGTACTTAGCTGGATATCGACTAATAATGCCGGTTCAGACCCTGACATTTTAGTTGCCTCAGCATTGACGGATTCCTCAATCGTGACATCAGCTTGTACCGGACTATCACTCTGCTCTTGAGCTTGTGATTTGTCCGATGGTGGAAAATAACTAGTTAACACACACCTTGAACTCCGTCTTAACTGATTGATATGACGATAGACCTCTTTACCCGATGACGACCGAAATGACGAACTTTGTAATTTGTTTTTCTAAGCTGTTCTAAAATTTAGCCCTTAACCCACCTTTCTCCTTTAGGATGCTCCTTGAAGAACACTTTATCTGCTGGTTTTACACTCCTAATATTCCCCTTGTCTTATTACATGCTTCTTTCCTTCTTTTCACGCAATATAGCATCCCTCTCAGGCTTTAACGCATCTAACCTAGACCTTAATTGCCAGCCCAGAAGGATCCTAGCTGGACTTTCCCCACCGAACCGTGCTATGTATTACGATACAATAATAAATCGTTAATCGTTGTAAAGCTATTTTAACATCTAACCATCCAGTCATGGTTTTTTATAACAGATTTACATTTTGACAGCGTTTTCCGCTGCTCCGTTAGACGATGGGTGGTAGGGCGTTGAGAATGCTAAGGTGATACCGTTTCTTGATAAAAATGATTTAAATTCAGTACTCGTGAAGGGCGGACCGTTGTCTGAAACTATCATAGTCGGTAATCCGAACTGACAAAAAATCTTTTCATCACCTAGCGGTCGTACTGGACAATTTAAACACTTCAATCCACTTCGAAGTCCCATAGATTCAGATTCAGTTTCAATACCATGAAACATTTACTTCCGGCTATCGGCCCTAAAAAATCTACATGTAGCCTCCTCCACGGTAGAACTAGTAAAGGCCACGGGCGTTGTACGTAAGCTGGGGGTGCGTCTGCGTGGGCAGCCCACGTCTCGCAAGCAACCTTGTCGAGCTCAGGCCACCACACGAAACACGTAACTTCTATCTAAACTCTTCATCCTAACCATGCCCGAATGCGTTTCATACAACTCCTGCACCGCTTGACTTTGACATTCTCCAAATATCAAAGTCAAGCGTTGTCGTTGACAGGTATAGTTATCCTATGACCCCACATTAAGCAGTATAACTCCAAATAAATTCCCTTCCTGCCATTAAAATAAGGTTGGGATTGTTTAATCTCTACGCTATCCGGCCATCCGACCGTCTGTCAGTGCTCAATAGAAATTTCCAACCGTACAAAAATTGGTGAAATTTCTTTACTGCATAAACAATGGCTAGTGCCTCCCGCTGCATTTGACTATATTGTTTTTGGCATCGTGTGCGCGACGCATAACATACGGGAAGCTCCGCACCCGTCGCCGCTCCCGTTCGCTTCAGTTTCACCACCTCATCGAACTTAAATTCCACAACAAAATTCAAAAACAAAATTCTTGGCACTTGTTAAATTAACTAGCAATTCATGTGTCTGGTCACCATTGGCTACAGACACCAATGTAGGTAAATGTAGTTCGTTTTTAATATTATTAGCCTTAAAGAACATTTTTTTAACGGACGACGTTTAACATCCAGTTGTCCAAAGTCCTCCAAATTCTTTAATTGCTCCGATCGACATCTTTAACACCACTTCACAAACTAATTTTTGCGTTTAAGACGATTTTTAAGGCTCCATGTTTAGTATCCATACATTGCAGGTATAATAAATGACCCCATTATTTTTCTCTTAGCTTCAAGAGATACGACACTTCAAGTATATTATGAAAAATTATACTTCATAATATACTTGAAGAACTGATCCAAATCTTTTCCATGCTGATTTATTTAATTATTTGTTTGGTAGGTCTCTTCTTCCACATAATCTCCACATGTGGCACGTGTGCCGTTGATAGCTATTCAGATTTTCTCCAGGTTTGTCATCAACTTACTTTTTTCAATGTTAATTGATAGTACCACTTTATCACTTCCATGCACAAGCTGTTGAAAAATTATTATTAGATTTCTGTGAATCTTCAATGACTTTAACCACGAATAAGAATGAAAAACTTTCTTTCCTCTATTTATCGGGCTGTGTTTTCCTTCTCTTTCGAGCCATATTTTTCCTTTCGTATTTTATATATGTATGTTTTGAATTATACATATATATATTTCTTCAGCGCCTTGTGTTTTTAAAGCTTCCTATATTTTTTGTAACCAATGAAATGCTTTGTATAACTTATTCCATTTCTGCATGACAAATTTTATAATGTGGATGTGGTTTTTCTTAAATAAGCCACTTTGAAACCCCGCTTGTTCTGTGGGTTACTTTTCATTCTGAATTTTTGTTAAACGGTCTAGCGATATCATTGTAAATATTTTATATACATAAGATATCAGGCTGATGGGTCAGTATTTGGCTTTATCTTTCTTCTAGTTTTTGTTATACAGTAATATTATTGTTGCGAAAGTCCACTGGTGGAGTATGATTATATTCTGTACGCAGAATTTCGTTCATTATCATCGTTGTATTACTCGCGGTATTAGAGTCACTATTTCTAATATTTCAATTATATTTACATATTCTTCGTATTTATAGGGTTTCATAGTGCCTATCCAGTTTCTATTTTCTCTTAGTTCAATTCATGCTTTATTTACTCCAGCTAATTTTTCCATGTGTTTTATTGTTTTAATTCTGGTTCCCTTTTCATGTATATTTTTAACCTGTTTAAACCTTTTTTTCCTTTGAATGGTCAACTGCCTTGCGCCTGGTCCTATTTTGTCTATGTTACTTTATTTTTCTAGGTTTAGTTTCGTTTTCTCTTTTCATGTTATCTCATTTCTCTTGGACTCCTTTGAGATAATTTGTTTTTTCGTCATTAGTTCGTAAAGCCTTAAGAATATTTTTCGGAAGTGGTAAAGTTACTGATTGTTTTGCATTTTGAATGGTTCTTTGATTTGTGTTTCTTTATGTATAGTGGTCCATGAAACAATCCATGATCTATGTTGTAGTTTAGCTGGTGGACAATATCTATATTAGAAAACAATTAAGTTTTGCTTTGTAACAATAAAATCTATTTCGTTCCTTATCTTCTCGTTAGGTGACATAAAGCCATGGTAAAGAATATACACATCAGGAACAGCTACCAAAATTTTATTATCGTTTGTCCATTGTTGTTTCTTTTCCCCGTCGTATTTGGTCCATGTTTTATTTTTATTTTCGTTTGTTTTACTCGTTCTATTTGGGCATTGATGTTTTCTTTGTTTACTGTTTTATTACGGATTGAAGTATTGTTCTTTGGGAGTTGGATATTTAAAACTCTCCTGTCTGATACTCTTTGAAACTTAGTTATTTCGTTTTTAACATATTCTTCAATTATAAATCTTAGTCCATATAGGCAAACTGATACATTTTTATTATGAAATATGTAACTATTACGTTCTTTAAATTTTTTTATCTGCTCTTTGCACTTCACTTAAGCCTTCTGTGCCTTAGTTCACGGTTTCAAAATCTAACAGGGATTCCGGAGATATTAGTGATCATGTATTGAGTATAGCTGTATGTAGTCTATTTGTGCCTCAAGTTTTATTTCTTCTTTCAAGAGCTCTTAAGTGTCTAGGAAGATCTGTCTCCCCGCTGTGTCCTACCGTCTTGGGGATGTGTACATTTTTTCCTACTAACGTTTCTGTAATACTTGATTTCTTGTCTATTGCAGTGTCCTGCCCTGCACCACTCAAAAACCGGGATTTTGTTTTACAACGCTCCTGGCTTGATACCGGTGATGAGAAGATGATCCTAAACCACTCTGTTTACCACAAGGACTACCCACCCAGGAAAGGATTTGTCAGGTGAGCGTCACCTGAAAATGGAACTTTTTTTCTTTCATAGAATCTTACCTTAAATTCCTTCACATATTAGAATCTTCTGTCTTTCATTAAAATTTTCTTTATTTATAAATAATTAAATTTTCTTACTTTAAAATATATAAAAAAATCCTAAAGACAGTTGTAGAGTAGACGATATTTACAGATACGTAAAGAATTCACAGAAACTTTAATCAGGTGGCCGACGAGATTTCGAGTGAAATTATTAAAATAATAAGGCTCCACAAGATAAACAAAATATTTGTATGACAGTTAATACTACTTTGTAACTCTAGGTACTGACATGTTCTCTATTTATTTATTGATGAGTACGAATATGTTATTTAAAAGATCTACTGTATAAAACATTAACGTGACACTTTCATTCAAGGGCTTAACTGAACTTTGCCAAGAGCTGGCTATTTCAAATCGTAGCGTCGATTATAGCGCTTATTATCGCATATGAAGGCACATGTTAAATCGATAGCCGTTCGTTGTTGAGCCCTAGCCAACGAATTTGCTGCCACTCCAGGTGATTAGATAAGGTAATGTGTGCGTCAGCCCGTGACGACCTTCATGCTTGTCGGCGATTGATTAATTCGCAACCTGCAGTAGTATTAGGGTTGTACTATGCAATGTTCCGGCCATCAGTTCACAAAAAATCACACAGTATTAGCTCAGCTTCCAATCGTATAAATCTGATGTGACTTAATAAAATTGGCCAGTAACTAAAACTGTAGTTTTGTCAACATTAGGCGTTATAGTCAAAAGTAATATACATTTTTCCATCAAATTCTTCGTTAAGTGTTTTTATCAATAATTTATTTATCCTTTCCAGGTTCGAGTTTGAAATTATAACAACAATATTTTTACACTTACTGAAGTTTAGTATTACTTCAGATTATTTTTATTACTTTTCAAAATTCCTTAATTGTCGCTTTCTTTATCTAGTACTCAATGAAAATGGGTAAACTAAAGGCTAAAGTTATCAGTGCACACTCAGAGTCCTATAAGACAAAAATCTAATTTAGCTAAATGATAAACGGATTTTTTTAAACGATAATAATTTCACAGATTCTTCTATCAATTAGAACATATCCGAGTATTCTATGTTGGCAACTTACGCAAAACGTTTTGTACATCCACAGGGCGGTCTCACTACTAACTGGTTTCGTGGTGAGGGTAAGCAAAGTGAAGGGCAGCTGGTTGGGTTATGTGTCGCGCTCTGACCCTCGCGGAGCGCTGCCTGCCTGGCTGGTGAACCGGTAATATAACTCGGGAGTAATTTTAACTCAGTTTTCACTAATGGAGAAACGGTTAGCTTAAAATCCTTTTTTTTGTAAAGAAAATTTCAGTTCAGTACGTAATGACCATAAAAATATACTTACATAACAGAAGCGTCAAAGAATTTTCGGTGTAATTAGTATCAGCCGATGCATTAACATCACTTTAATATGACCACGTAAAAAAGCTCCACTATTTTCTTGCTGACAGTTTACTTGTCTGACAGCTTAAACCGAAGTGCCTAAAAGCACAACATTTCGTAGAGGAGTTCCTTATCCTAGTGTTGTTGTATAGTATTGTCAACGTGTAATTTTTAACATTGGTCAGTGGACGCCAGTGACGGCATCATTGTCTAGAGCATTTTTCAGGGTTACCGCACAACTGGCTCCCCGCCTCGTTCACCAACTTCAAGCGGCAGCTAGACGATATCCGGGTTGGAAAGCACTGACAGATTCTCCGTACTACAAGCCTTGGAGGCATCCTGAGCAAGTTCCGCCTTACAGGATCTCGTTGGCAGATGTAAGTTGCCGAGCCTAAGTGTTAACTATTTCAAAAGACAAAAGTTTTTTAAGCCTGGTAAATGTTGTTGGTGTGTTAAATATAATATTTACACCATATTCTTGCAAGGTAACGGATGTGGCTAGTAAAAAACCCTGTATCCTTTGTTTATCTTTAGCCTCAGCTTTTAATTATTTGACTTAAACAATGATTATGATTCCTTTTTAATCTCTACGCGAAATTATAAAAAAAACACAAATGAGCAGGGTATGTTCTTTTAACATGTTAACGTTTGAGAAGTATATTAGACATCGGGCAAAGAGCGACGTGAATAGTGCGTAATTTTGTAGCAAAATAAATTTTGACTAACAGATACAAGACGTTGAAATATAACGGGAAAAGAAACCGGTCCGGAAAGAGCTATCTTTTTCATTACATCATAGCCCACACATTAAAAAACGTTATTGACAGAAACGTAACCTCAAAAATAAATACAAATCAAAGAACTTTATTTTTGTGTACATATATTGTAAAAATTTTCAAAAATTAAAGTATATCATATGATTTTATAACACAATTTTTATTACATTGGAATTATATTTTATTTTTTGCGATATGATTTAAGATGAGATTGAGATGTGACTTTTATGATTTGTCGAAAATTGTTGACTCTATTAGGACTTGACCCTGCATCTTCTGGGAAGTACGGCCTGGCGCTCTAACTGAGGTTAACAGCCGACCGCCAAAACCATAAAGTTTTGCTGACATTTAGATAAAAATTGATATATTCTAATTCTACCTTCAAATATGGAACAATGAAAGTCGTTTATTTAATACATATAAGTATTTTTTTTTTCAGTGCATAGATCCCGATGCGCCACCTCCGCCACCGGAACCGAAGCCTAATACTTCGAAAGTCAAGCTGGAGGTGCCACAACCACAACCCAAGGAGATAGAAAGCCACAGCATAGAAGACTTAGGAGACATATCATCTGAATTCAGCGTAGAAGTAGAAGAAGATGCGTTAGATCATACACAGGATCCAACAAAAAAGAAAGGAAAATTTTACAGATTAGTGAAATCGATGAAGAACAGAAGGAAAAGCGTGCAAGTTGCCAAAAGTGTCGACAACTTAATAGATGGAAAACCTCCTGAAGAGAAACAAGAAAAGAAGAAACCTTTCAAATTCCATCGTAGATTTAGTCTAAGCAGAGGGAGGGAGGATTGAGTTCTTACAGTATCCTATTTACTATTATATTCATATGCCATCGGTCTCCTCGAAGTGTTAAAATTGTTATGTAGGAAGCGTGTTTTCACATACTTCTAACATAACATTTATAAGTTTTTCTAAACTTAAATTTGTATCTCTTTCCTGTTTAATGAGGCCAAAGATCTGCCGATGCCGCTATTCGCACAAATTATCTGTATTCCATATAAATATAGGTATTAGAATTATTTACAAAACTAAAACCTAAGTAGCGTCAAATCTCTACATCTGTTGTCTGTCTTATTAGTGTGTCATTGTTTAAAATGAATTAAAGGCTTAAAAATTGTCTTAAAATAAAAATACTATTATGATCGACGATACTGATCGCTGATGAATTAATTAGCTTAGCTTAGAGGCCTTTATCATTTTAAAGAGTTTTATTGTCGAAAAAATCGCATCAAATTTATTCAAAACATTTAAGCAAAAAGAGGAACAATCGAGAAGAAGCGATAAATTCCAAATCAGCCATCCAATCAAGCATCTATTGCAATTTTCGCTCCTTTTATCATGTCTATCGTACCATAAGACCTTAATATATATTTAATCATATTGATTGAATTTCTAGACTTTATAAACCATAATTCAGTTTAGAAAGGATGGGATAAAATTTTTAGCATACTAGAAAGTTAAACTATGTAAACCTTTACTATAGTTTCCTTTATTTATCTGATATAATGTTTTAATCGTGCTTAAATATCGTCAATAAGGCAATTTAAAGGGGATCGTATATAGTAAAAAAATTGAGATGAAATAGTTTTCGGTACTTATACGCTTATTCGGTATAGTACGTTAATGTTGCTTAAAGTCGCTAGGTTTAAATTAAAACCCATTAAACTGTCGACATTTTGTTTATGTTGATTACTTTCGGTTTCAATGAAATTTCGTCTCACTATAATCTCCTGCGAAATCGTTTTCGTTTGAAATAAAAAAGGGCAATGGCAAATTGTCATAGAGCAGTGGCTGATAAAAAATTACGACAAGAAAAAAACACTTACGGATAAATGGATAGTGGATAAAATCGGATAATAGAAGAGTGATTTTTTTCACAGTACCCACCGGCGAATTCCGCGCCACATGAAAAGATCGACAATAATGCGAATTGACTTTTTGTCTGGTGTTATATCCTTTTTTTGTGGCGTCAAGTTCAAGGCGACGTCGCAATTTTCCTTTTTATACAAAACTATTCAGCCTAAGGAGCTAGTGCACAAAGTTAAAGAGATGATTTAAATCCCGAACAATTCTAATGTATATTTTTAATTTTATTATTCTATATGTTCATTTCTAATGCTTATTATTTTAAGACGATGCTAGTTTGTGTATTGTCGACTACCGTTTAAGGGAAATTAAAATAATCAAGATCTATCAAATGTTTCAGATAAAAATTATAATCAAGATTTCATTAAACATAATATGTTTCCTTTGTAAAAACGCGTTAGTTTGTGAGTATAATAGATAGTTTGTACTGATTGAAAATCATATTCCAGTTAACGATTCTCGAAACCTTTTTCTATTTTTATTATATATTTCCATTTTATATGATTGTGCTGGGTATTTCTCAGCGTGATACGAGTTCGCAACGAAGACATTTGCAGTAGAACAAAGTGACCGACGTAGCTCAGAAGGTTAGTAAGCTGAAGTGGCGATGGGCCGGCCATATACCTCGTAGAACCGATAATCGTCGGGTAAGAAAAGTTCTCGAGTGGCAGCCTCGTACTGGCCATAGTAGTGTGGTTGATAATTAAGCGTTTCAAATAATTGAGGCAGGGTCTTAAATAAAAATCAGAGGTACGGATGTTCTACAAATGATGATTTCATATCAAAAACTTTATTTTTAATCAAAAATCGGATATAAAAATATCACCCAAATTGTAATCGTGTTTTTTGCAATCATGTTGCAAATATTTCGTGGTTATAAAAAGTACATATGTAAAAAATAAGCAGCACATTTATTTATCGAAATACAATAACATATAGTACAAAATAGCTTATAATCATATTTGTTTATTCTGTATAAACTAGAAGCACATAGGTTTTAAACGCAATCAAAATATTCATTTGCTTTAATTTTAAAGTCATTATTAGGAAATTCAAAATTCACATAATGTCTTGGATGCATCCAATTTGTTTGCTTATAGACATACATTCATCTCTATTCATCCCACATCCATTACAGTAAAGTTAACACAATCAATATCTGTTATGAACTCTCTTTCCACATGTAGATTTAAATAAGGAAATTTTACTATTTAATATTAGTTAAATATCATCACGGGACTTTTAAATAGTAAAGCGACCAATAAAGTTTTATCCAAAAAAAGTTGTTTCTTCGTGAAGTATTTCACGAAGAAACAACTTTAGGTTAGAGTTTTTAATCGTATGAGCCAATTGTCACTAAATATCATAAAGGCTGCTTAAATTCCTGTTAATAAAACCCAATATTCGGTGTTATCTATGATGAAAGCTTCGTGAAACAATAAAATAAGTGTTAATATTACAATAAGGTGACTGCAGTGTGAAAATGGACGCTGTTTATCCTCTTTTATTTGTTCACATTGACGTTGAGAGCAATATATTATTACTCTCAATGTCAATGAAGAGGTTATGTGTGTCGCAACGATGCTTTATATTTACTTTGGAATTAATCTTTGTAAGTAACGATAAAAAAGATATTAAATATGTAATCAAATGCTGAATTATTCTGATAAAATTTTCGAACTTGATCTTTCATATCTTTTTGAAAGCATGTTTTTATGAACCAATTAGTTTTATTAAACATAGGAATTATACATAAAGGCATCTGTACATTTGGTATGGATGCTTGTTTTTCATCTTTCTCTGGTGTTTTAAAAAATCAATTGAGTACCTTCTTGTATCAAAAGTTTTAATGAAGAATCGACATTTTCACCTTACAATTTACAGGCTTTATAACTGCAACATGGTCGTAAATAAATTGTTCCACGTGAGTGCTAATTGGAATTAAAAGCGAGTAGTATCGTATCTATCCTCTTTCTTGTGTGTACTACTGTGTCTTAATATTATTTCTAGGCGATGATAAGTATATCACGAGTTGTATGTTAGATAAAGTATTTATTCTCATGTTACAGAATTCGATTTGTTGACGATTAGCAAACAAATATACATATTACAATGTATTTTGTTCTTTTATTCCCTATTAATATGAGTGTTATGAGGTTAATCTTATCATACATACTGTCACGACTCGAGACCGAGATTACTGATGTTGTTCAAATAATGCTTTTCAAATAAATTATTAAATGTCATAACGCACGATAAGTGCTCGTAGCATACAGGACGAAGAAGTCGAATTTGAAGAAAACGAACGTCAAAGAAAACACTACGTTACAAAAATCTATTTAATGTATCTGCAACCAGAACCAACGTTGGCAAACGCGCGCCTCTGAGCCGATTGTGCGCCCTCCACAATAAAATGCTAAATAGATAAATAAATAAAATGCTGATAAAATGGAATAATAAATAGATATGCACTCTTATAAATCTTGAAAATAGATAAATAAATAGATATGCACTCTTGCTTCCGCTCAGCCTACACAACCTCTAATAAAATGCTTCTCTACAATAAATATTTTACCCTTAATTGTACTCTCACTTACTTACCCTCTAGTGTTTCAATATTTTTATTATTCTATATCTCCAATAACGCATGATTGTAATTCATTCTTACGTTTTTGATTTTTTTTAATATAACTTTATCCTGTGTTATCCTGTGTAAGAAAGTTTGACAAACACAAATTTCACGCGGACAAACATCGAGACGCGGAACAATTACTGTCTGGTGGTCACACAAATAATTGTCCCGTGTTTGAATCGAACCCACAACCCCCGACGCCGAAGCCAATACCTTGACAAATGCGCGCAAAAAGTAACAACAAATTTGTTCTCAGTGAGACATTAGTTAAGGGAGCAGCTATAAATGTCTGCACATTGTATGTTACTTTTTTTTTATTTTGTCTTTAGTGCCCGTTTGTCTCAAATATGGTTAATAAATAAATAAAATGAACAATTTTAACACTTACAAGTGAATTCAGTGTGTTATTTCATATAAATCAATTGTTGAAATTTTGGCGTTCCTGCGTCTTTGGGGTAACACTTCCATACGCTCTTACCATACGAGCTAAGCCGCCGATGTTTACTTATTTATTTATTAGTAAGGGATAGACTCCAGAAATAAGAGATGAATTAATAATATGGGATATAATAGGAAGGAGATGATCTAGGATATATAAAATCCTGAGGCGGCTCATTTGATCACAACCTACCGCATTTGATTTGATAGAAAGGATAATCTTCTTGACCTCATCCGCAGCAACTGGAGAAAAATTAAAGGGGTCAATATTACGACGAGGTAAGTTCTTTAATTCCTCGATATTGAGAAGCTTGATTCGGATATCGATTGGAATATGCAATACAAAGTAACGATTGATATCATCCAAATCAATTGAACTCCTATAATCATACTGTGAGTTATTACCGATTCCGATAGTTCTAAGGAACTTCCAGATATCAGCGGGTGAAGAGGAAACTATATTATCAAGGATATATCGGCGTTTAGCATCCCGTATCATCTGGTTACACCGATTCCTATCAACCTTATACAGTGTCCAATTGTCAACACAGCGAAACTTTTTGTACTTACGAAAAGCCCTACGTCTCATCGTCATACGTATGTCTGTTGTAATCCATGGTGCTCGTGGACGCTTATGTTTGACAGTTTTATTCGGGGCATGCACATTGTATAGATTGAGAACGGCACTATTAAATAATCTGACTTTTTCATCCACCATGTCGGCGGCAATCACATTATCCCACCTTAAATTTGAGGCATCTTTACGAAGTCTCCCTATGTCCATACGAGCAAAAGAACGGATATAGATGGTCTTAGGAATAGGCGGTGGTTTAAGCAAGTAAGAGAGGCAAATAAAGTCATGGTGGGAGAAACCAGGTGCGAGATATTGACCATAAATGGAAGCAAGGGAAGGAGATGAAGTAAGGATAAGGTCGAACCAAGTGTCGAAGAACATCCAAATTGTTATGAGTGGCGTTTAAAGGTAGAATGTGAAGGCTAACAGACTCGACAATACGTAGAAGTTTAGTGGAACGAGGTGAAGGGACCAAGAGATTGGTGTTAAATTCGCCCATAACTATATCTTCACGGCATGAAATTAAATTTAAAATAAATTGTGTTAAATGTCAATGTTTCGGTCGCTCGTCGAAATTTTATGAACACATTTGGCATCAAACGAAAGGAAGACGTTCCTTCCGTAGTAAAACATCGCCGCCTTCCTTGTACCACCTTACATTGGAACACCTAAAAGGCAGACATTTTCGTAGGCGACCTTTAGCACGAAGGAGACTACTAAACCGGACGAAAAAACGTGATCGTTTAAATTATTTGTTTAATTTCAAACCGGTCATATCGGTCTTGTACGCTTAATAAGGTGGCTTTGTGTCACGATTGACACAAAGCCACCTTATTAAGCGTACAAGATAATTAATGTAACCTACAATTTGATATCGCAATCATTATAAATTGTCCTCTCAGCTTGAGAGTTATTTTTGCTGGCAAAACTATTTAATTATTTTATTTAAAGCAGAAACCGTTCTTTAACCGTCTCTTATATAATTCGCTAATGCTCAAATTCACATGTCATCAACATTTGGCGGATATGGGCGGTTATTTTTTATGTCAGAAAATCGCAATTTGGCGGTTCACTCACGGATGCTAACTTGCGATTTTTTCACCTAAATTTAGGAAGAAAGTATACAATTTAAGTTTTTTGGAGGTAAATTGAACGAAATCTCCCTAAATGTTTCTCATTTAGAAAATTTTGGTTTCAATTTAGTGTTTTTCTTAACATTTGGTAACACTGTGTTGAGTGAACACCAGTAGGATTGCATATATGTTGACACCATTTAATAAAGGGTGCTCCGGTTATCACGCCCGCTAGACAAGACGCAGAAGTATAACACTTGCATTTCACACCGGTCTTCTGTAAGAACGTGGTACTTCCCCGGACGGGCTTGCCCATTCGTGCAACAGCCGAGGCCTTACCACGGTAATATCTGGAAGTTAGAACCCATTCGAGCAATAGTAGGACTGTGGGGTGACCCCACCACTGAGAGTGTCTGCCCAAACATCAACCAATTAATGCGCGATTTTACAAACCGCTGCATTTTCTCGCTGAATAGCTTACGAGATATTTAGTTACTTAAGTTATACAGTGTAATGCACAGATGTTTTAGACAGATGTGCACTAAAAAACATACCAATTTCTCTAAGTTTTTGATAAATACATGATAATATAACATGTCACTTAAGTGATATCCAAAGTGACATTTGTGAAGGTTTTCAGATGTAAGATGTTCGTTTTCTTTTGCTCATAACGCGGAAACATTACAGAAACTCCTGTGTTTCAAGTGTTTATGGCGACTTTTGTATGCGACGACCAGGTATGCAAAGATGGAAGGATTTTGCATGTTTGAAATGCACGCGCATGAGTTATACATATTGTATTAGCTATACTTAATCCTCGACTAGCCCTCTTATCATCAGCCGCAGTAATGAGTCGAGGTTATGTAAAAATTCTTATTTAATAATCCCAGATAAAATAACAATACTTTAACCGATAAATTTTTAATGGCGAATCCAATGACTTTAGTCAAGTTAGCTTAGCAGCTCACGTCCTTATGGAAGCAGTTAGCCCAGAAAACGCAGAAAAGTTTTTTCGCAACTTATGTAATAGAAACTATCATTTAAGTTTCATCTTGAGTGCAGATTAGCTATAAATATTCCTAAATGCTGTATATTAGGCCGACTTTAAATAATTTATAACTACAACAATATATAACAACAATAATAGGAAAAGTTTGATAAACGCGTGTAAATGGATCATCTATATCTAACTGTTTTTCTCGTTCTTTTCATATTTCAACCATAATGAAACTTGCCTGAAACAGCCTGAAATGATGACGATGATGACTTATGTCAATTTCTACACAATATTTTTGAGAGTATTATAATTAACCGTTAATTAAAAAATGTGCATTATTACGCACACAGTTTGAAATATTCACATTAATTTAGTCAAAGTTACATTTATATAATTTTTTCCTATATTATTATTATTAACAACATATATTGTTTATATATGTTCAACATATATTGTGTATATATTATGCTTAGTAATAATAATCGTTTATTGCCAAGAAAGTATAAGAATATACAATATATTCAAGTGTTAAACAGCCGTGAAACAAAGTAAAAAATATTAAAACGATTGTTTGAAGAACAAAAATTTTACAAAAATATTAAAATAGCTTTGAGAGAAGCAAATCTCTTTGGCAAAAGGTGAAAACTCAGCGTATGCCACAACAGAAGGCATAAGGCTGACTGTGTAGTGCTGATTTTCAGTTTCCCCTAGCCCTGTTGTTGTTTTATGTGTATCTGTATATACTCTATCCAAGTTAGTTTTTCGAATAAATATTGGAGATTTTTATTCCGTATAACTTTTTGTACCGTACACGCTAAGTGTACCTATTCGATACTTAAAAACGAACGCTTAGAACCTAGAAGAACCCACTAATTAAATTTACGATTAAAATTTTACGCTAATACGGCAAATACTGCTGATTTTATTGTTCAACAATGAATGATTTATCTCGAGCTGGAATAACTTTGTTTTTACGCAAATAGGACTCGATCGGTTCCGTATAATCTCATAATTGCTAAAGTAATAATGATAACGATGAACGTATATTGTTCCGTTAAGCAATTTCCACTTGATTCCACAGTAATCCGCGTTATAAAACTAATGGAGAATGCGAGTTTGCATTTGATCCATCTAAATGACAAAATCCAGACTTATATACCTATCTCGAATCGATTTATGCTCTAGTGATGCTTACGGTGCCGCGGAGCTCGCGACAGTTGTAGTGCCGCGCCTTCGTGCTTGACACGCAACTTGTCAAATTTACCTTAGTGTCATTAAAAACAAAAAAAACTTTCTTTTTAGTGACTTGTGATACAGATATGAGCAAACCAAGTACTGTGGTAAGGTTTAAAATGATTGCATTAATTTACTTGATGTTTTATTATCTTTTTTTTTTTTCAAATAACGTAAAAAAATATGGATTATTATATAAAAAAGTATGCATTGGAATATTTAGTGAGACTTATTGAAATATATAAAAATACTCGTATATATAAGAGTTAATGTTTCTTCTTTCTTCTACACGATGAATCCTTGGTTTATATATCAGTCAAAGAAATTGTTACCTGTTATTCTATGCACAACTAAATAACATGTGGCATTGTACTCATTTCGAGTAATGCTTGTTGGTATTTCTTGAAAACAGAAACGCTTCCTGCTGATCGGATAACACAAAATATTTCTTCTGATAAAGTTTAAAGGTACATCTAATATAAAAAAAAACCAGTTTGTCAAATATGTACGTTGCCATGAATTATATTAATAAATTAGTGGTCTTACTGCCTTAACAAAGCTACTCCTTAAAAAAAACCAAACATTCGACATAGCAATCTAAAATTGTGATTTTTTTTCTTCAAAAGGCTACAACCCAAATAGTTCAGCCCAATGTGCTTTTATTAGAGTAAATTCATATGCTTTAGTGCGATTAAATTTTGACATCTTCTTCTTTTAATTAGCATCTTCTTCTATATCCCACATTTGTGTTGCCAGTATAACTGCTAAACCGTATTGTTAATGATATTGCCTAGGTTTTTTTTTACAACCAGCCGCCTTTCTCTCTTGGGAATAAACATCCAAATCCAGAACAACTGGGCATGTCCCAGTACCAAGCCAAACTTAGGAACCACGCCACCGAGTAAATTAGGTGGTAGGCTGACGCAGCAGCCTCGGCTGTAGCACGAATGGGCTGGCTCGTCCGGGTAAGTACCATTACCTCACAGAAGACCGGCGTGAAGTGGAAGTATAATAATTTTGCGTTTCGTCTGGTGAGTGAGGTGGCCGGAGCCCAATTTTCAAAAGGTTGTCAACGCATCTGCAACCCTCGGGTTTAGCAGATGTCCATGGGCGGTGGCAACATCAGGTGAACCGTCTGCTCCTTGCCAATTTTTCACATAAAAAATAATCAATTGATTTAACAGCTTTAATCTGATAGTAATTTTTTTTAAATTTTAAAACTGACCTAATTTTAGGATAACAAATGATCCTGTGTTGTAAGGACATTTCACGCGGACAAACACTCAGATGCAAAAAAAATGTCTGTGGTTCACACAAATTGTTGTCCCGTGTGGGAATCGAACCCACGACCCCCGACGCCGAAGCCAATACCATGGCAACTGCGCCATGGAGTCATCTTTTTATTCGAACAATTTGTTTATATAATCATCATTAATTAATTGCGCTAGAAAGGCGTTAGAGAATTCACTCATAATCGATCGATTATAGAAATGATCACTTTGATAAGTGAAATTTTGTAACAAGGTTTCTTTTTTACAGGTTTCTTACCATAAAAATAAAATCCTTTACAAATAAGCCCTTTATGGGATTCATTTGGTTAAAATATTATTTTTGTTACTGTTCGATCTAATATGTATATTTGTGTGTGCGCGAGTAAGACGAAAAAGTTATTTTTAAAATCAGTTGCTAATAAACTAGCGTACTATTGACACCGTATTTCTGAAACCAATCCCTAAAAAGAAAGTGAACCTTATTACCACCATATATGGTCGAACATCGAGCCGGATCGACAGACGAGTTATTTACGACGTTATTATAACCAATCGCTAAACAAAAGGAAGCGGCGAGTGCGAGAACAATAGAACTTGTTTACCTGAACTACATTTCTTAAGTTTAAGACAGTTTTTAAAAAGCAATATTATAATTGAGACATCGAAGAGATTTAAGTGTTTGGTTTTAAAATAATATAAAGAAAAATATTAAAAATGACATCTTAACCGGAACAAATATTGTCTGTACTGGAAAATACAGCAGCATTATTAAAAAAACCAAACTAAAGAAATGTCATAAGCAGCGCCTCACAAAAGGATATCTCGAAACAAGAATACAACTAGTTGAAGAGTATTGGAATGCTTTTAACGGCACATCAAGTAGTGAAGTAGTGAAGCAGAAATGTTATTGAAACATATTCAAGTTACCGAAGACTACTATGAGTATTCGTGGACAATGCTTAAATCTCCCTACAGTAATAAGATACAGAGGGAAATACCCTCACAAACTGCAAATCACATCAAGGCATTTCTGGATAACACTACAGAATGCGTTAACAGCTTGATGAACCTCAAACTTTCAACTGACTCTTGGTATCCATTAATTATTTTTCTCATCGTGCTGGACCCAGAGACGCACCGAGAATGGGAGCAGTTTGCGTATAGAAAACTCAGACCAGTTACCTTCCTGGCAGGATCTTCGTAAGTTTCTAGTCGAAATTCCGTACTTTGGAACTAATCGCGCCGCCACCAACATCAAGGGAGAAGATTATTAAACGCCGAGAACAAGCAGTACTAGTTACGACCGCAGCTACATTGAAAGCACAAAGTTGCACAATGTGTAAGGAAAATCATACATACATTATGCCATTGTAGGGAGTTCACCAACATGGAACAAACAGAGAGGTGTCAATTTGCAAAGAAAAATAACTTATGTTTTGTCTGGCAGTAGGACATTCTGCAAAGAAATGCCGACTCAACATGTCATGTCGTATATGTCAAAGGCGTCATCATTAATTATTACATCAAAAGAACGTGGAGACGTCACAAACAAAACCAGCCAATAATCAATCGCATGCAAGTATAGTTACTGATGAAGAAAGTTCAAGTAAAAATATTCAGCTGTCATCACACTTATCAACTAATTCAAACACTGCGTTGTTAGCAACAGCTCTTATAATCATTAAGGACTAAGCAGGATATAGAACTGTAGTACGTGCTTTAATAGACTACGGCTCTCAAGCTACTTTTATAAGTGAGAGAGCTGCTCAGACGCTTAAACTGAAAAGAAATTCTATTCTAGACACAGTCACTGGCATTGGTTGTAGTACAACCACAGTTAAGCAAGCAGCTGAACTAGAACTTTTATCAAGACACGAAGCAAACTTGAGCATTAAGATAAATGTTTACATCATGCCAACGCATCTTACTACTCATTTACCAGCACGAACCATCTCTATAAATTCATGGTCACATCTTCAAGGTTTATCTTTGGCAGATCCATGAATCAACCATGAAGAATAGACATGCTATTAGATGTCGACGTATGTGTTCAGATTATGAAAGGAGAAGTTATCAAGGGTCCACCAAGCATATCATGCGCTCAAAATACCAGTCTATGTTGGATTCTATTTGGACACATACACGGCAAAAAAGAAAGAGATGATATTTTGAAAAGGCTGTGGGAGCAAGACAAAGATGAGAAGAAGGCAAGAACGGCTGAAGAAAGAAAATGTGGGGAGATTTACCAAGCTACTACTTCCAGAAACACTGATGGGCGATATGTGGTCAAATTGCCAACAAACAACGAACCACTTTTATCAACTGCAGAAAAAACACGAAGTATAGCACTAACAAGATTTAATCGATTAGAAAGAAAATTTGAAAGAAATCCAAGCATAAGAAAATTGTATATCAAAGCTATGCAAGAGTACATTGAATTGAATCACCTAGAACTAGTACCAAAAAGATGAAATGGGTAATCCAGCAGTATACCTTCCTCATCATCCAGTAGTTATTGAAGATAAAGAAACTAGTAAAGTTAGAATAGTTTTCAATGCTTCACAAAAAGGATATAACAATATTTCACTTAATGATGAGTTACTAGTGAGCCCACAGTTACAAGATGATATGAGAAGACTCATTATAAGATGGCGAATGAAAAAGGTTTGTTTTGTCGCTGACATACAGAAAATGTACCGACAGATCCTAGTCACCAAAGAGGATAGAGATTTACAAAGAAGATTTACAAAGAATAAAATATGTAGAAATGGACCTGACGAACCTGTAGAAGACTATCGACTTAAGAGGGTGACGTTCGGAACTGCTTGTGCTCCTTATTTAGCAGTGAGAACCTTACATCAAGTTGCAGAAGACGAAGGACAGGGTCATCATCCATCGGCTGCTAAGATAAACGACGACCCGAATGGCGTAGTGGGTAGTGTACCTGCCTCCTGCACCAGAGGGTGTGGGTTCGATCCCCATTTGACGGTGGGTCACGTAGCAGTCTCGGCTGTTGCACGAATGGGCAGGCTCGTCCGGGTAAGTACCACGACCTCACAGAAGACCGGCGTAAAGCGGAATTATAATACTTTCGCGTTTCGTCTGGTGAGTGAGGTGGCAGGAGCCCAATTTTCAAAAGATAATCATATGTATAACCTTTAGCCTTTTGTTATCTTTAAATAAATGTTATTTATCTTATTTAAATCAGGCAAAATGTAATTAGATGCTAACAACTAAAAATGTTAAATTAAACGGTTAATGAAAAGAATTGTTTATCATACTTAATGTAATTTAAATGTGTTAAGTAGATTTATGAAAACACTTTGGTGGGCGGTATATTCGATCTAATATGTATAGTTATGTGTGCGTGAGTAAGATGAACAGTATGCATGTGTGTGTAACCATTTATTATAGAAAAAGTTGTTTTTAAAATCAGTTGCTAATAAACCAGCGTACTATTGACACCGTATTTCTGTTACCAATCCCTACAAAGAAAGTGAACCTTATTATCACAACAGTTACTTTTATATGTTTATAACCATATGTCCTGTTAGTGGATCGCGGATCTTGGTAAGAATCTGTTCTACTTATATGCAATTACGCAAATTGATTCACTTTTTCACGATCTTTTCAGACGTTACCTTCAAATTGATCACAGATGTAAATTGTGTTTTAAATTGTGCGCGTCCAAAAAAAAATTCCTGGCTGATACAGCTCCGAGAATTGGTAAAAACCTACGTATTAACGTGAAATTAACACAAAAAAAAAACAATTGTCAATACTCTACTTATACACAGTATTTTCGACCTTCTGATCATTATTAAAAATTATAAGATTTTAGAATAGAAATAATCCTTTACATATGCCCTAAATAGTACTAAAACCTACCTAACCTCTTTCAATATTTAACAATTTATTGAGTCGGAGCTAAGCTCAGTATATCTGATATGAGCATAAAATCATTCTCTTAACATTGTTAACATAATTTAGGTGGATTAGATATATAATTTTTTATTATTTTATACATGTAATACATGTAACTATCTTTTAACCTATTTATTGGATAACCGCAGTATTAAATGCTGCACCGTTACCCATGATGAACAAAGGAACCGACTCCAAAAATTGGTCAGTGTTAGGTTACATTTTCAAGATTTGATTATACTACATTTAGTATTATTATGAACTTTTCAGAGCTAATAGATTTTTTTTAACTAAGTTATTTTTTTTGTAAAAAGCTTTATATTTTTTATATTTTTAGTGCTTTAATTTAAAAAAAAGCTTACATTCAAAACAGCTTACATAGCGTAAGTACTCTGTTTTGCGCATTCTCAGCTAGACTAAGTAAACTAACGGTAACAGACCTAAACTAAAGAGTTTAACACTTTTTAAAGTTCAAAAGCAGATGTCATTTTTCTCTTGTTTATAAGGTTTTATTTAACATCGTAGTATTACGAGCAGAATAGTGTCATATCAGCTTGAGATATACGATAAACAGCAATAACTTTTTCAGTTCGACATTTCAGTTAGCGGTTCGTAAATTTTTCCCATAAAGTAAGGACAAAAATCATTGGTACAGTCTTCATTCAAATGCTTAAAATTACAGCCTGGTGATAGTACAGTTTCCGTATGAAGAGAGTCAACATGCAAAGATTTAGTAAATCCCTGAAGATCGTATGAGAAAGCTGGCCCAGGCATTAAATTCCATAGAAGGGTAACGTTTGCAGTGGCGGACTAAGGCCTCCAGAGGCCCGGGGCGGTAAAGCTTAATGGGGCCCCTTGATCCAATTAAACAAGCTTTTTATCTTTATGTATACGTGTGTTTATTTAGTTAAAATCTTGTAAGTTAAATTTAAAGTGGACTTCAATAGATACACACAGAACACAGACCTCTGTACAGAGGAGGCCTTTGCCCAGCAGTGGAACATGTATAGGCTGATACTTTACTTTTTACTTTACACAGAATTGAGAGAGATGAAGGAAATGGAATACGAATTTATCTGCAATAACTTAATAGTAAAACAAAAGTATTAGATAGTTTTTATTTCCAGTAAGTTTCTGGAACTAAAACTATGTAGACATAAATATTAGCAGCAGTGGCGTAGATTGCCTAAGACGGGCAATCAAATTAAAATTAATCGGTCTAAATGAAGGGTAAAGATAAAGACAAAAGAAACAAAAATTTCGCTTGAAATTAATATACACTTTTCTCCCCTTTTTTCGGAAAATTTATTTATTAAATCATCCATAGCCAAAATGATTACACTTTTTCTAGATTTTCTGCCGCTGTATAAAATAGTGACTTATATTACCATATCCGTTCCTGTCCCATAGAAATACTAAGATAATTTTTTATCAGTATTAATTACTCATATTCATTTGTTTCAGTTGTAACCAGAAGGGCTAAAAAAGAAAGCATTCTTCTATTACCTCAGGAAAACGATGCAAGGCTATTGAATTTTATCCAAAAATAATTTCATGAGTTCCATAATGGAATGAATTTACACATTTTCTAGGTTTAAACATGCTTGCTAGGCAATTATTTATACAGGTCAAATGACATATCGTGACTGTTGTATTTCTACATCTTTTTTTATAATTTCGGGAAAAGATTACTAAGTAAAATATTAAGTCATTATTTTCATGCCATAGAGCTGTAGTATTGATGATTTCTAATAATGAAGAAAAAAAGACGCGAAAAAAATTCTCGGCGTGTTAATTATGTGTTTATTAATGGTTTCGTTCGTCTTTTTTGTGAAATTTAATTAAGTTGCTAGAAATTTTACATTATTAATGAATAATTTTTCTTGCGTAATAAGCGTTGTTTCTCGAACATCTTCTAGCAGGACAAACTTTTCAACTTTGAATTAATTGATTTTTTTTACTTTGTTTTATTTGATTGATATAATTTTTTTAATTGAGTTTTTTTTTAATTTATAAAACAATATTTTTCTCTAACTGCGCTAATAAACCAAACAATTTTATTTAGAATAGTGGGGCTAAATTTTATTTCACTATTCGCTTTAAAATAAATTCTTATTAAATAGGACTTTATTATAGTAAACGTAAAATGATCGACATGAAACTTCTAGTTACAGAGTAATGACCTGTTAAAGGTAGTTTACACATAAAGAAATATTTGATTTCGTGCAGTTACTGCACAAACATAGTCAAAACTCGTTAATGTCTTTATAAGTTATAATTTTTTTCCCTAGATGTACGACTTAAGAATTTAAGGGATTGTGGAATATTTGCCTTCATCCGTTCGGGCCCTAGGCCTTGGGCTCGGAGGCCCCGTCTCATTGATGCGGCTGGCACAGCGTTAGCTACGCCCCGATTGACAATAGTAGTAATCTATACTATAATAAAAGAGTAGAATCGGCGTGTCTGTACATTGAACATATTTATGAAAAAATGAAAAAGGCTATCATAAAAAGTGTTATAGGAAACATAAAACCATTTTTGGAATTTTTGCCTGTCTGTCTGTTAGCGATAAACTTGAAAACTACATATTGGATTTTGATGCAGTTTTCAATGGTTACTTAAGCAAAGCTTGAGGCAGTACCTAGGCTTTGTTTCATCTCAATCGGTTCACTCAAACGGGAGATATGGGAGTTTTAAGATTAAAAGAGTGCAGTCGCAAACAGTTATCACAGTTATCCTACTTCTGGACTAATTTGTATGGTGTTCTTGTAAGAATTCAAGTTTAATTCTGTGCAACATTAAAGCTTTGTTTTATTGCAATTTGTGTACTAAAAAAAAAGCTCTCAAACCATAGGATCGATTTTAACGGGGTATTTGAAGAGTGACGGTACAACTTCCTCGCAATATTTCAGTTTTTTTCTCCGAAGTTTCTTTTGTGGGGGCCCAGCCCACTTTATTAAGAGATTGCAACGCATCTGGAACCCTACGGGTAGGGGCTATCAATATGCATATAGCTTAGTAAATGATACATGTATACATGTATTATTTATTAAACATTGTTAACAAATTAATCCGGTATTAAATGAGGTAAGAAGTTCAATTTCAAATACAAATGTCTTTATTCAATATAGAAGCATTACACTTATTTATTGATTAAAGGAAAGCTACCACCATTGAAAACTATTAAAATCGAAACTAACGTGTGATCTAAATAGTATTTAATGATGATAATAAACAAGAGCATTATTTAATAGGAGAATTACTTGCAATGAAGAAGTTTTTCAATGATGATTTAAACCTTCTAGTAGTGACCTTATAAGTACTAAAATTGTATGCATGTTATAGATTTCATTAATTAAACGGTCAAATTTGGAGTTATCTACATTTTCGATAGCTGTGATTTACCTTAAAGTTCCTTTCTTTTAATTTTGATTTCTTCCGCCTTGTTGTTGACTAAAAAAGTCTTACAATCTAATCCAAAGGGCTGACACTCTACACAAGACAAGAAGTAAAACGATCATCGTTCCTATTGTATAATGACCTTTTTTTAATTGTTTCGTAACACAAAAAAAAGTATTAAATTATTTATTAATTTTATGATTTAAATGTGTAACTAATAACAAGTTACCGAGAACACTATTATTAGTAAACAAGTTACCGAAAACTATTGTTGTCTACAAATTTAAACGCCTGGTAATATAATATTAGCAATTTCTTAAATATAATTTTTATAGTGTTGATTTAATTTTAGATTTTTATGTTGATTTATCATTTAGAATAAAGCAATCCTGTGTTGTAGAGCTATCATATAGGCATTACTGATATATAGCTGATACGTAGAGTCCCACTTCATATCATCATCTTATTCATTACTACCCGCCCCGGCTTCGCACGGGTGCAATGTTGATTGTTTGTTTTCGACATCGCATTAGAAACCTCTAAAATTATCATTGTTTCTCTACTATATTATGGATGAATTATACATATAAACCTTCCTCTTGAATCACTAAAGAAAACCGCATCAAAATTCCGTGGCGTAATTTTAAAGATCTAAGCATATATAGGGACAGACAGACAGCGGGACGACTTTGTTTTATACTCTGTAGTGATTAAACAATAGAGTATTTGTGAACTTATTATTTAACAGTTTTTATAAAAAAAATAAAAAAAACTTCCAGTTTCAGAACGATTTTATTTTATCATAGATGTGAATAAATTCATTTTCTTCTAACAGATGCGTCAAAGTACAATTAATAGAAGTACCATTTACTACACTTCACTTAACGTTGCTTTTAACATACTGAAGGTGTTCCGATAAATAGTAAATCGTCTTATGTCATTCACTGCCTTGGTCTTATGATTTTCTTTTTCCGCACTAGCAGGTTTTCCAACGTCTTAACTATGTAATACCTTAGGGAACATTACGATAAAATTATTTTCTAATAAGATATGATTATCCAATTAGTTGGCTATAATCAAACGTATATTAGTAATACTCTCAAAACAATACTCCTACATTCTTCTTCGTTCTCCAATAAAATAGGTTTCGTGTAAGTAGCTCATTTCCGTAATAATACTAGCTTAAAACGAATAAATCGATTTCAGACGAACGCCTCCACGTAATTGCTCAATTCCTTTATTAAGTTATATTGTAACAAGTCGAGTTCCGATGGTGATTAGCGCAGTGTCGGTCATTTCAAAATTTTCATAAGGCACTTGTATCCGATCTGACTTGAGCGTTTTCCGTTACTGTTCAGAAATCCCACTGAAGAGCGTGCGTTCTCAGCGGTTTTCAGGTGGTTCGCGTGCGTCACTTGTTTATTCTCGCCAGAACCCCCTCCGGAGGAGTGGTGCTGGTTCCCCGGCCTCTGGAATTTGTTGACAGCACTGGACGAGGCCGCGACAGAGGCCGCTCCGTATACATACACCATGTTTCAGCAGTTTCGAAGATAGCTCACGTGAATCCAGCAAACGACCTGTGGTTACATCATGAATTAACAAATGTGATACCTTTCTAACACGAAGTCTCTGCCTCCTTTAATTGAACAGTTAGAAATTAGCTTTTTTTATGCGAAAATTTGACAAGCGAGCAGGCGGCTCACGATAAGTGATTACTGCTGCTTGTGGACATTGCACCTGGGGGTTTGCAGATGCGTTGACAGATCTTTAAAACAGCCCCGGCTACTTCTTTCACCAGACGACATATTAATGCATTTTAACACATATTTAGGCCTTGGTCTTTTGTGAGGACGTGGTACTTCCCCGGATGAGTCAATATATAACCATTTGTTTACTAACGAAAAACAAAACCGACTCCAAATATCTCGCTCTGTACTCATTTTCGAGTTTCAGGAGTTCCCTTAATATCTCCGGAACCTGTGATCCAATACCAATGAAATGTATGTTACTGAATGTATGAATGTAATGTTTCAAATGGAAAAAGAATCTTCAAAATCGATTCACTCACTCCAAAGTTCTGAGGTAACAAACATAAAAAAAATACAGTCGAATTGAGAACCTCCTCCTTTTGAAGTCGGTTAAAAAGTCAAAAATTGATGTTTTTAATAAAATTCTGTAGTAACAAGTATTGACGATCTCAATTTTTAACCACTTGCCTATTCCCTTGATCTGTACAAGTCTAAAAGTGTATATTACGATCGAACCTTTTTCGGCTTCTAGTTTGATGTCTCCAACACAAACACTTTAGCAAGACTATGATTGTAAAGAAAATGCTATCATATTAAATGCGAATGTCTGATAGAGACGACGGCTTGAACTGATTTAAAATCATATCGCTTGTATTAATTCGTGACCGTGCTAACTTTTTTAATCCATATTGATACCAGTCCCTGCTTCGATTTGGCAGCTTTTGTTTTTATTGAAACGGGGCTTCCCGCGTGGTATCAAGCACGCGAAGATATCAATCTTTCAAAAAAAAATCAAGATCGTATCAAAGGCGACGTTATCATATAAAATCCACCATAAATTAAAACCTCCAGCATGATTTTACTGTTTAACATGTCAGCTGTCTACTAATGACACATTGGTGATTGTAGTAGCCTGAAATCTTTCCGTTATTATAAAAAAAAATTCTACGCTTTTATGCTTATCTAGATGAGTATATTTAGATAATATTAGATAGACATCACCAACGGCTTTCAGATAGATATCACCAACACCTTTCATAGCTCAAGTTGGCTTTTGAATGTGGTTGTGCCATGCATCATATTCTCGAATGGGTAACGGGGGAGTACAACGGTAAAACGGTTGGTAAATAAGTCTCGGGGTTAGAGTTTTGTAATTTTCAATATCATCTGGCAAACGAGTTAACCGCTAACTTTTTAAAGAACATCGCGTCTGTAAAAACACGTGTGCTGTAGATGTTCAGAGGCGGCGGTAATAAAGTACAAATTTAGAATAATCAGTCAATATTATAAAAGAACACTGAAATATAAATTTAAGGATTCTTTTTCTGTCATTATCCCTTTTTATGTTCCTTTTTGTCTCAACTGTCCCAAGTTGGTGAACAGCTATGTTAGGTATTACATGTTTTCTTACCTGTGAATTATGTAAAAAAATGCAAATCGTTTATTTAAACAAAGAATTGTTTTTTTTTTTGAAATATCAATCCTATTACTTCAGACAGCGAAAGAAAATTTATGACACAAATTCTGCTGTGATACATTTTATAGTCTCGTCGGAATATTTTTAGAACAGAGCCATAAGATTGTGAGTCTATCAGGGACGATAAATGGGATGATTAGTTTATATTATCAAGTTAACGAAAAATCATTGCTTATCGTAAAATCGATTTTTAATGCTGCTATTTTGTAACAATGACATATCACCTTAAATTGCGAATAATTGATTATCTTGAATTAACGATTTAAGTTTTTTGTATGGAGAGCCGAGAAGAGGGTTGGTTTGTTTTTATTTTTTAACATTGTTAAAATGTATTTTTGTCATTTTAAAGTGCGGGGATTAGCAGTAAAAAAATTAAAATTACAATCTAAAATTCAGTTTAATAGACGGTGAAACTAAACATCGTAAGGGTACCTGCATACCCAAGAAATAATTAAAGCTAAGTGTTGTCACTGCGGTTACGTGACCGTACCACAGTGAAAAATCTACTCAAAAAAAAATAATCAAAATTCCTAATATCTTTAATCATGTATTTCTGTTAGCGCTTTAACAATAAATGCTAAAAAAGAGAATAGAAAATACTATCTATATAAGAAGCACAGTATGTGGAACTTGTAAAAACTGGTATTACATTGACCCACGAAACGTTAAAAATTTCAGGTTACGCAAAATGACGGCGAGAATCTGTTGCCGCAACGGGAGTCACGGGTCGCCGAGAAAACCGTGACTGTTGATGAAGATGAGCCCGATGCTGCTGAGTACCGCTGCGACCAGCTCAGCTATGGTATAGGTATTTTCTATTTTAATCTATATATATAAAAGTGAGTATGTGTGTTCGTATGTTCATCTAAAATACGAGAACCGTTAGCCGAATTGATATGAAACTTATTCGAAGGACGGCGTGACCACTCCGACGTAGTTACGTTAGTGCCGGATAGGTTAGAAGACTCCGTGGTCTAGTCGCGAAGGTATTGGCTTCGGCGCCGTGCGTCGTGGGTTCGATTCCCACAAGGGACAGCTATTTGTGTGAGCCACAGACACGAGTAATTGTTTCGGTTCTGGGGGGTGAAATTTATGTATGTAAAACGTCCTCACGACACAGGATAATGTTATCCTACAGTAACGGAAAAGTTTTTAAAAAAGAAAAGAAGAAGAAATAGGTGTTGCTGGTGGCAGCGATTTTTATCTTTTGAACCATAGCGCATAGGTCGTATTGATATACGGTTACATGTGAGATTTTCTTCGTGAAACGAAGCGTAGCTAGTGCCAGCTAGCTAGTAGATAATGTATACAATTATTAGTTGCGTTAGATGCCTATAAGCAATGTAAGATGACCCCCAATAGATGGAATGATGACCTGTGTAAAAATTCGAGAAGTAGATGCAAGTGGCTCAGGATTGTTTTTCGTACAGTGCCAAATTAAGCAAGCAAGCGGAGCAAATGCTTTCAAACAGCCCCTGAACTGCTATGGGTTCTTAAGTATAATGTGGTAAAAAATAATTCAAGACTCTTGCGTACTTAATACGTTTCACTCAAGAAATTACGCCAAGGCAGGGATTAGGTTTAATGCGGGGCCCCTTTGGCGCGGGGCCCGTAGCAATTGCTAATTCGGCACTGGCTTCGTGGCAGTCTGTGGGGTAGGCCTATGTTCAGGGATTCGAATCGCTGAAATGATTAATTTGATTAATGAATATAATACTAACACCGTAGAAATTTGCAGTACTGGTACACTCACTTGAATGTATTGCAGTTTTACATAAGCTGATTTAAGAAATTTAGGTGCTTGTACACTATTATGAACGAAAATTTATTACAAATCAGCACCTGTTTTACCTTTGTGTACTTTATTTCGGACCGATATACAAAACCAAATTTTGATTTCTTGTTTTTACTCGAATATTATATATGATGTAATGAAACTATTTTACGGTTTTTTCTCTATTTTTGATTTAATTTTAATACCCGACTTTTTGAAACCTTTCCGCGTTCATGGTTACGAATATGCCGATAAAATCGGTAAAAGAGTTTCATTTAATCATACAATAGCGTAATAATATCATGACGAGTTAACCAATGCACCACCGAACTAAAAATATAATATTGTTGAAAAGTTGTTAAATCTATGTAAGACTAATATTAAATCTATGTCAGGGGATTTTTATTGTGACATGAATACTGTTCTACTACAAGTTTTATTAATAGCATAACAATTATTGCATAAATGTTTTGGATATTTTAAGATTGTAAAAACATATCGGTTGATAAAAAATAAAAATCGTAATAAAGCAGGCTTAAAGATTTATAAAATAAAATGTTTTGTACTAATAAGTTCATATACATAGTATCATCTATATAAAATAGGGTAATATAAGTAGAACTGGAAGACGTAGCGTTGCAAGTTCTCCCGACGACATAGTAAGAGTCGCGGGCAACTGGTGGATTTAAATGGCAGTGTCGTTCGTTGTGGCGTTCTAAAGGTGACTATAGACTACAACATTTTCTGGAGCATTTCTGTGTAATGTAACGTTCTTACGAATAGTACAATACACGCAAAAGCTCAGTTTCCAAAGCATTTCCATGCAATGTAACGTTCCTGCGAATGCTCGGCGTTATGTTACGGGTAAATGCTCACAGCGAGTGTGCATTTAAGAACATTTCGTTGTACCTTGCGTTCATTCTTTTTTGAAATGTCGGACCTACAAGTTGCGTGTGCTGCGTTTATATTGATGAATTTTATTAAAAGTAAAAAGAAAAATAGAAATAGAAGATGGTGGCAAATGAACATTTATAACGGCTCGACGAAATGTTACACCAATATGCAATATGGTTTGTAACAAAGAGGCGAGCGTGCTCGTCGTTTAGTTCGTGAAAGGATGCTACACTAGAGCATATCATAGAGCGGCTCGTTGTTCTGTTACAAGTAAATGTTGTAGTCTATACTCACCCTAAGGGGGAGACCTATATTCAACAGTGGACGGCTGTTGATGATGACGATGAATAGGTGTTTTAGTCTTTATAACTTAACATCAAAACGTGAAAACTTAAAACATGTAGAAAAAGTACGAAAAGATTGTCACCGCTGTGGAAATCGAACCCCAATCTTTTCGTACTTTTTCCAAATGTTTTAATGATCAATCTTGAGTGCAGAGATTAGCACTATAAAAACTTTAAAATTATCAAAACGTGGTTGAATTAAAGCGCATTTCTATTACAGCCTTATAATATTTACATGCTCACTGGATTTTATATATAATTAAAAAAGTCTATAATTATATTGAGAAATATACTTTTATAAATAATATACTTTAAATATAAAATCGATATGCCTTAATTTTGTGAAGTTTCTGGAAACACTACAATCGGATAGAATGCGCGTAGCTTCAACGTAGCTACGTTGGTTAATAAGAAAATCTTTATTTTTCTAGCAGTTCAGATTTTGAGCCGCAAATATTAATAATGCATTGTATAAAAGTTCACTGTAGAACTATATACAACACATTAAAGGAAAATGAGCTTTACGACACAAACCAGCTGAAATACACAAATACTCATGATCCTCAAGCGATCACCCTAATAGTCATCTTTTTCCATATATGCAGGTGATGCCATGTTTGCGACGTTTTTGGTGGCACCTCTGGTCGTTGGAGTCTGGCGTTCCACATGGGGCATCATGGAATTGCACCGGGATCTGTTCCCTTACGCCCAGATCTACCTCCTGGGCATCATCATCCACGTATGCTTCGCACTGATCAGGTTAGTAGGAGAATGTAGGCTGTCACACGATTAGAGTGCTGTACACACTTACACTGACCACAAAAAATAAACTAAATCAATGTCAACGCCAAGAATTTCACGAAGGACTTTTAAGGATTTTATCAAGTGGGTTAAAATGTCACCGGCAAAATATTTTTGAAATTATACTTCTTTCGGCGATTTTGGAAAAATTATAAATCAAACACCCAGACAGCGTTGACCAGGACCAACACCCGTGCGAAACAACTATCTGTGGGTCGCACAAATAGTTGTCCCGTGTGGGAATCGACCCACGACCCCCGACGTCGAGGCGAAATCGAGTCGAATTGCTATGAGAGTTATACTGGGTTTATCAAAGTTACTGAGAAACGCATTCGGGTTTTTTAGTTTTTTAAATTATACACTTTCTTAATATTAAAACTGAGCACGTGACGCAACCCAAAGATGCTCCCAATCAACTCACAATAAAAAATAACAGGCGTGTTGCTGATTGCTAAAACGAAACGTAAAAGTTTATACAACATTCCCAAAAGATATTTTATTAATCCTTATAATAATGCATGTCAAATGGAGCGAGGATGCATTCAAAACGACATGAAGGACCTTGTTGTGTTAACCATAAAATAACGTAGTCCCAAATTAACCATCTGCGATAACAACTTGCAGTTTATGAATTCGTTAATAATAGATGTTTAACCCTACATAAAATGTATTTTTTTTGGGAAAAAGCGGCAACCGAGCAGGAGGCTCAACTGATGGTAAGTGATTACCGCCCATGGACACCTGCAACACCAAAGGGTATATATTATATAGAAGGGTATACACATAGTAGCACAAACACTAGAAACACGATTACTCTCTGTCAAGATGATAAAATATACTTGTAAAATTTCTTATCAATAAAATCTAGATTGAAAATAAACTGTCAGACAGGAAGTATCTGCAGTATTAAGATTACTTTGCAGATAAATATCAACACAAGTTACGGAGAAATATGAATTTTAAGTATGTCGTGATAATTTAAAAAAAAAACGTTGATAAGTTTAAGTTTAGGGGATTTTTAGCAGCGAAGGATATCAGTAAATTATTGTCATTGATAAAGATTTAAACTAAGTCCGATTTTCCTTATTCCCATTTCAATAGGGTTGTCAATTTTTATTATGAAATTATTTATTATTTTAATGGTTATATAAAATAACCATTTATTTAATCGCGTCTCAGTTTTAAATGGTCTAAACTTCGGGTTAAATTGCTACAAATAAAATGTTATATAAGTATAGCATTCAAATTTATGTTGAAATATATAGATATAAATATATAAAGATATAGCGTACACATGGTTTAAGCTTGTTTTTTTAATGTGGAATTTTGCCAAGCGAACAGGCGGTTCACCTGTGTTAAGTGAAGAGTCACTGATATCTGCTACTCCCGAGGGTTGCAGATGCGTTGACAACCTTTGAAAATTGGGCTCCGGCTACCTCACGAAACGCGAAAGTATTATACTTCTACTTCACGCTGGTCTTCTGTGAAGTCATGGTACTGGTTCGAACCTGACCATTCGTGCAGTCGAACAGTCGAGGCTGCTGCGTGGCCCTCCCACAGTTAGTTTTTGTACATTATATTCAGCAGTTGTCATAGGTATCCTCTCTTATACCTAAAGTAATTCTAATATACCCAAAAATTAAATTCCGTAACCAAGAATGTGGTTTAACAAAAAAATGTGGTTTAAGGATTTCTAAATACGAGAACCCTAATATTGAAAATAGGATGTTTCGTTCTTTGTTCTTAATTTACATTTGCTGAACCGAAATTCGTAGCAAAAAATCACAGACTCCCCCTTGAAAGTCGCCTTTTGAAGGAAGGAAATTTTTGGTATTTCATGTCATGTTATAAGCAGAAAAGACGACAAACAAAAAACGTCTCGAGATCAATCGATAACAAAAAATTACTGTGAATCGTCATTACAAAATATGATTAGATACATGTCTAGATGTCTGAGCTGCATTTGACAATCTGCAAGCGAATACCAAATCCTGATTGTCGATTTTATCAAGTCCAAGTTGTTTATCATGAGACGTCTGGTCTTATTTTGAGTTTAGATTAAATTCTTCGCCGATGGCTGCATTCACAAATATAAATACTAAATGATGGTCGCAGCCATTTTCAACTGTATGATTCCATATAGCTTCTTCTATTCTTTGCATTGCTTTAAGAAACTAAGTTAAAGTTCTCATCAATACGAGATAAAGACATTTAAACTATATTCTCTGGGTACATCATGTACCGATGTATAAAAATATCATCAGAGAATTTGGTTGTCTATGAAATAATTTTACTACTATTTAGAAAAACTTAAAAGAGTTAAATGGGACAGTTGTAGTAAGATAATATCGTTTAATATGTATATTTGCAAATTTGATTTCACGAACGACAAAATATAATGCAGTCGCATCAATGCTGCAAATTACAAAATTTGAAGTAAATTGCATCATGTTCATTATAATCGTTTAATTTCATCGTGTAACTAAAATGAGATGATTAAATGTAAAGCAATTTTATAATTTGCAACCACAGAATCTTTTCATCCTAATTTAGTGAAATTGCATACGTATAAATACGACATTTTATGCATTAATTTGCGAATATCAAACGTGCAATTGTCTTCTATTTTAAAAGACAGACGTTCTATTTAAGGATGAGGTTTCATAATAAGCGTTTCCTTTCAGGTCGCATCTGTTGTTACATTCGAAGGCAGCTTCTGAGGGGGAAAATCGAGCCTACCGTTGGTTAAGAGAGCGACTGCTCTCCAGGATTTATACCTATATCTTCGCTTTATCCTGTATCATGCACTGGCGCGGTGGCTGGGCTATATTTGATACAGTCGTCGCCACTATTATTCCTAATGATAGTGACCCTCACAGGTGATCATTAGACTTTACCCCGTACATCCTTACTACTATTCTAAAGGCGAAAGTATGCATGTATGGATGGATGTTTGTTACTCTTTCACGCAAATACTACTGAATGGATTTTAGTGAAACTTTACAGTAATATAGCTTATACATCAGAATAAGACATAGGCTATAATTTATATATATATATATATATATATATATATATATATATATATATATTTATATCTGTCTTTCTGTCCTCTTTTAAAGTTTCATTATAATCCATTCAGTACTTTTGATTCAGTGTTCACTATTGCACGAATGGGATGATCCGTCCGGGTAAGTACCAAGGCCTTACAGAAGACCGGCGTAAAGTAGAAGTGTTACACTTATGGGTTTCATCTGATGAGTGAGGTAGCCGGGGCCCACTTTATTTAAAGGTGGTGACGATTTGCATCACTAGGGGTGTTGAAAATGTCCATGGGCGGCGGTTATCACTTAACATCAGGTAAACCGCCAGGTCGTTTCCCACTTTCTCACATTAAAAAAAAGTTTACTTCTCCGCCACGGACAGCCCAGTTACACAACACCAAACACAGTTACAACTGTTGGAGTTTGTCTGACATAAAACTTAGAAAATGTTTAAGCCATTTAAGGAAACACAGAGAAAGAGAAAAAAAACCAGAGAGAAAAGAACTAAATGATTTTATTATTTGTTTCTTCTTTCATCAAGGCCGGTATCGATAGCGGTACTGACAGCACTATGCTACGCGGCCATCGCTGGATTGCGATCGGCGAGGAATCTCCTAGCACCGCCTTATTTCATAGTCACAGATGGGAAGGAGCCCACTTACGAATTTGCAACACGTTTCCGTAAAAATGGAAGGGTGAGTTTTATTGCTGCTTTTTTTTATTTTAATCGGTGTAAGAACCGTCTGTGGGTAGGCCACATCGCTCGAAGGCATATAAGTTCTCGATTAGCGACCACCGGAAGAAGTAGCGTTCCTCCCTCTATGTGGACCGACGACATTGTAAGAGCCGCGGGCAACCGGGCGGTGGATGCAAATGGCAAAGTGTCGTTCGTTGTGGCGTTCTAAAGGGAAGGCCTATGTTCAAAACTGGACGTCTTGCGGCTGCTGATGATAATGAAGAACTGTCGTGCTAAGCAAATCAATTACGCACGTTACGTACATGTACAGGCCTGATATTTTTTTTATATATCAACCTAGTTAGACAGCTATACATACAGATACTTGACATATGAAAAGTGTATTTTTTTGCCATGACCTCCCCGGAGATTCCCTATCATTTCTGACCTCGAGCCCCTCGAAAAATTGATCAATAATAAACCATTTAAAATTCATTTATTGTCCTAAACGTACCATCTATCTAGATATGGATAAAGTTAAAGCCACCAAGGCTTATCACGTGCTTAGCAGTGAACGAAAACATAGTGATGAAACCTAAATATTTTCGAAATAACGATGTTTTTTTTTATATTTATTTTACATTATTTGAAAGATATGTGAAGTCCGCCAATCCGCAGTAATCTGGTGCGGTGGAATGTGCCCTGATATAGGGTGTACAGAGGAGGGCTTTATTCAGCATAAAAAGTGTTCAGTACACACTTATATCGTTTTATTAAAGCGTTGTAATGTGTAACGAGTACTACCCGAACTTGTTTCGATATTATGGATAACAAAAATAATAGTGCATATCGAAAATGAAGCATAGTAAGTAAGCCGCACCGCTTGAACATACATGCCTCACGTACACAATCACAATAGCCACACGTCACAACAGTAATACATCAAATAAAAAAAATAATGCCATCTTGTGTTGTAAATGGAGTAAAAATAATAGTTATTTTACTACATTTTATAACAAAGGTAAGACAATATAGGTGGATGCAAACGTAGTGGTTATATTCTCTTTGGGTGGATGGTGGATGTCATTACATTTTTGACATTTTAATTTTTAATCATTACTCTCGGAACACAAAACCCTAACAGATATACCGGATGTTTTTTTAAACGAATTACATGCTTTGACATTATGTTAATTAAGCCTTCCATATTTCAAAAAGATATTAATATTTTATTTTGACAAGAAATAACGAGAAAAATACCAATTCCAACATTGCTTATCCCGTTAAGAGTGGTCACCCTATTGATAAGCGGTTTAGTAATTATGCGTTCAGCGAAAAGTTTTAAATAATCTTTGAAAAAAATGAGGTCAAAAGTAGGTACGTACCAAATTCAGATTTAAAATCAAATTCTACATATGCTGTGTTAATACGTCCGTCGTCTATAAAATCAACCTACTATAAGCGTTCTCAAAAATTTAATGGGTGGTTTTCGCGCGGGGTGACGTAATCTTTTTCATTGTATTCTTTGTAATTATTTACAATTGTTTATTAAGATTCTTGTTAAAGGTTTCTTACAATAAATCAACCATGAAACAATGATTGTATTGTATGATATTGTATGATTGTATAAAAATAATAAAAAAAGCCATTGGATTCCATCGAAAATAAATAAATATTTCAGGACCCATTTTTACACAACGTTTTCTAGTCCCAAACTAAGCAACGCTTGTACTATGGGTACTAAATAACTGATAAACATACGTAAACATGTTTTTCTTATGTAAATAAATACATATTATGGAAAAAGACGATGTTCATCACACAATATTTTTCCAATAGTGGGAATCGAACCCACACCCTCTGGCACAAAAGGCAGGGTACCTACCCACTACGCCAATTGGGTCGTCAAATAATTGTGATGTACATATATATATCCATTTAGACACAAACAATTAGTATAGCATAAAAAGTTAATATTGTTTAATCAATATGTAACGAAAGTCACGGTGGTAGAGCCATGCAGCAGCCTCGGCTGTTGCACGAATGGGCAGGCCCGTCCGGGTAAGTACCACGATCTCACAGAAGACCAGCGTAAAGTGGAAGTATGACAAATACTTTCGCGTTTCGTCTGGTGAGTGAGGTAGCCGGAGCCCAATTTTCAAAAGGTTGTCAACGCATTTGTAACCCTCGGGTGTGGCAAATGTCCTTGGGCGGCGGTATTCACTTCACATCAGGTGAACTGTCTGCTCATTTGACAACTTTTCGCATAAAAAAAGACACCATTCGTAAAGAATGACTTAAATTTATTAATACACTAGCTGTTGCCCGCGACTATGTCCACGTGGAATAGGGGGAAGGGACAGATAATAAAAATATAATAAAAATGTAACTTGTCTTCGTCTGTACATGGAAGACATTTGAAAAAACTATTATTAAAGATCCTCCTTTATAAACGCAATAGAACCCAAAACAATGGTTGTTAAATTGTTGTCTGTGTATGTGCGTTTGTGCGCATTAATCTCAGAAACGGCTTAATCTATTTGAGTGCAACTTTAACTGATGCATTGTAGTACTTCACTTAACATTTAGTGTTAGTTTTATTCAAATCGGTTCATAAATAAAAAAGTTATATCAACTTAAAAAAAAGTAATTGCTACAACTGAATTTGATGAAACTATAGTTAACTATAATAATTATATTATGGTCTATAAAATGATGATGATTGTTAGATTATATAAATTTAGGGGTATTTTTTATTATTAATGACCAATTTATAAAACTAATGTATCTAAACGGCCAAGTGCGAGTCAGACTAGCAGATAAAGGGTTCCGTACCACTATCTGTAAAAACGGCAAAAAATCATGTTTATTGCATAGGAGCCCGACCTAAATATTTTTTATTCTGTTTTTTAGTATTTATTGTTATAGCAGCAACAGAAATACATCATATGTGAAAATTTCAACGGTCTAACTATCACGGTTCATGAGATAGAGCCTGATTACAGACGGACAGACAGACAGACAGAGAGACAGCGGAGTCTTAGTAATATCCCCGTTTTACCCTTTAGGTACGGAACCCTAAATAGCAAAGCTACACGTATAATTATAACATTGTTACTCTTTAATATTTTATTTATATAAAATATTTTTTTTGAAATTTGAATTTTTGTGGGTGAATCTAGAAGTGAACGTGAACACCTGGTGTTTTTCGTATAATTATTGCATAAGTTGTTCGTACAGTTAAAACAAATTCGGTAGATTTTGATCTTTTTATTTTAAAATTTATCGGTTCTCGGTATTTATAAAACGGATGGTCGTTATCAATTTAGGGAGATGTTTCATTACTTCTTCGAATTTGTCTACCCGCGCGAAGCTGGGACAGGCCTTTGTATATATAAATCTACGATCGCGTATCAAATTAAACGACCGCGGTGGATATAGTGACCCTGTAGGTAATCGAGGGAACATTCAACATCGGGACCGCTCTAGGGAACGTCAAGTAGGCGCTTCCTACCGATCACCTCCTTACGACTACAGCCTTGGCCCTGCCGATGCGTATCTCCGCTCTTAACATCTTCGCTCCACATAGATAAATAATCACGAATGTCTCAGTGTTTCCACAGAAAGGTGCTCCGCACTATCCGAAATTTCCAAGTTCTATCACGGTTTAAACCGAATACAAAAATAGACGATGTAATTTTTTCGTCGCGTATATTTACGACGTACGTTTAGCGGTATGTTACTTGTGTACTATTTTTATTTTAATACCGGCAAGTAATAGTGACACTGAAGAATGGCAAACATGTCTACCATCGTGTTAAAAGTCTGCCCAACTCGGTTCAGCCCAAATGCGGACTGAGGTCGACTCCGCGCGCAGACAGCGCCGATATCGGCGTAAAGCGCCTGCGCATCGTTTGGTGAATACCCGTTATCGGCGAGCGAGCGGAAGAAAGCCGGCGGCGGCGCTTAAAAGCGAGACGCCGCGGGGCGACGACGTCGATGCGTCGGTGCGCGGGACGATAATGCAATTAGCGGGCGCAATCCGCTGGTACACGCGCGGCAACGGCGCACAATCGTAGCAGACATGCGCGGAAGCACTGCCGGGCTGGCCGACACGCTCGCGAGCGGCTCGCGGGCGCACGCCGCTCTCCTAGAGATCGCCGACTGCCTCTTCGCCAGCATAGTGGTCGCACCGGCGGTGGTCTCCTACTGGAAGTCGACCTGGAGCCTGATGGACTTGTACGTGCTGCCCGAGCAGCCGGTAAGCAGCGCCGCCGCCTGCGCCCTGTTCGGCCTGTTCTGTGATCTGTTTCTGTGCGTTTTCCAATCGAAACTGGGCAAGTACCTGAGGCCCGACCAGGGCCGCCTGACGTACTACGTTCTCTCGAGGGTGTACACGTACGTGGCGGGCGTGGCGTGCGTGGGCGCGTGGCGCGGTGTATGGAACCTGCTGAATGAGTGCACCGGCGATAGCGCCAGGACTTTACTCTCTACCACCGCGGCCGCGACCCTATCCCTGGCGGCGTTACGCGCGCTGAGGAACATAAGCGCGGCGCCGTTCGCTGTTGCGGTTGACGGCCCCCTGGACTACTTCGACGTGCCCACAATGTTCCGGACGGTTAGTATCGCCCTATAAACATAAGCTCCAACTAAAAATTATCCCGTTAGATGCATCAAAAACACACAACTATAGAGTATTTTAGGTACATCCGGTCGTAGCGTTTTCGTAGCATCGCTGTCTACGTTATTACTTTACTTAGCACTAAATACGTCGTGTATTTAATGCTAAGTAAAGTTTGCTAACAAATCTGCGTCAATGTTGCAGTGTTTTTTTCTCTTGAACTTGCAATGGAATATTTCCGTATGCTTATAACTTAGACTTGGTAAACTCATTCTAGATCACTCCGGTCAAATGTAGTTCTATTCAATGTTATCACGTTTTGTTAAACAAGATTATAGAGAAAACAGAATTATTGTGGCATTCTTTATTTAAGTAAGTCTTTATTATTAAGTAGGTATTTATTGAGTCTAGAAGTCTTTATTTAACCAAATATATACAAGCAGTTATATAATGTTCGTATTGAAATAAAATTCTTTTCGTAAACGTATTTTAACATTTTGATTTCTTACCTATAAAAGTTTATTTTAAAAGTAATCGTTGAAACTAATTAGTAACCAAGTGTATATAAAAAATATGATTTCCAAATTAACGTGCTTATGCCAAAAATTAAAAAAGAATGGAGATTTAAGATCAAATTTGTAAAAGCGGTAATTAATTTGTTAAACTTTATAAATATTGAAGAATAAAATTTAACACGAAAAAATCAAGACAATAATAAACAACGTAACAATGCATAGTAAACATCAATACTACTTAAGGAGTATTATTTATATTGGGCAACAGGATAATATCAGATAGTTGAAATAATAAAACAACAATACATTTCGAAATGTAGAACGCAGATTGATTTAATAATATGAGAGCTATTACTGATACTAGGAACAAGCATAAATTAGATGTACCTTCAATTAGATTGCGTAGAATAAGGAAATCTTTTATGGGACAATGTATACGCTTTTACAACAAAATCCCAGAAAATGTTCAAAATGAATCTGTTGTTATATTCGAAACACTTGTAAAAGAACGTATGTGTGTTAAAGAATTGTACACATGCTTGTTATTTCTTTGTAAACATTTTTTGAATTTAAATTTGCTAAAATATGTATTACATATGTATTCGAATGTATATAACATTCGATGGATGCGGTTTTCTAATAAAGAAAACTAAATTTTACAATATTTGGTACTACTGTATCAAATATACTCATGGAGTCTTTACTTTGGACCATAAACTGTTTTGTCACCTCTGCACCAAAAAAAATGTCACTCACTAGAGTGTCATTTTATGACCTTTTTTTATTACGACAGATTAATAATCCCTCCAGTGTCCTACAACTCTGCGACCCAATCCAGTGTATTACGATTTTCAAAAAAAGGGAATATCCATAAAATGTAAAAAAAAACTCTCTATTTGACTTGGAATAGCATTTCTATTTCATTTGGGGTGATAACGTTTTGTATTGATTTTTTATTATAACGAATTGGATAGTATTATTCCGATATATTAAAAAATGTAAATTCTAATAAATATTGAAATTTCATTTAACAAACGCTTGACTTTTTACCATCTACCGACTCAATATAAGGAGAGAAAAATAACGTTAAATAGATTTTATTTCTGTTTGACTTTTTTTTTTATTTGTAATTGCTTTTAAACTGCATATAAAATCACCGGTCGAAGTCTTATTTCAAAAGGGGGTGACAGCACAAATTCACACAATTCGTTCGAATTGTATGAAAAGGATAGTGTAATAAAAGCAATAAGAAAAAAGAGGACGGCAAATGTAAAAAATATCTCGAGAAGTATTACTTTTTAATTCGAGAAGTATTACTTATTACTTATTAAAAATACTCGACCCGTATTAAACTTATTTTGTTCCTCTTTGTTTCCCACGTAAACGTCCCAATTGGATCGTTCTCGTAGCTTCACTCCGGGCGTGTTAACTAAATATCTGCAATACGAAAAGCCATTGATTTTCTTCTAATAAAATATGTGATAATTTATCCAAGAATCTAGTGTAAAATAAAAGAAAAACTTTAACCTCCGCGATGGACTTTTTCCGCTAACCGTGGACCCGTCTGCTAAAGTTTGTATTAAAATCCAGTAGGCAATTTGCTCAGTTCCAGAGTCATAACTCAGAGACTTGTTTATAAAAAACATATACATGTAATGTGTGTGACGGTGTTTAAAAAGTTAAGCAGCTTAAGCATTTCACTCTAACACAATAAAATATACTTTTGTGTTTTGACATAAAAAAAAGATTTTGTTCGACAAAGGTTTACGTAACGGAAAAATTACGAATTGCTTGATTAAATTGTTTGCGATGGGCACACTTACCGTTGGTGACCGGACAACCATTACTGTCTGATTGGCTGATGAGCTGACAAAAGTCCAGCTTCCGAGTCCAATTACGTGTTCAAAAATAACTTACATTGGTTTCGTGTGAATCTGTAATCAATGTAAATGTGTGTAAGCATTAAAATTTTAACCCCAAAGAGTACGTTGTGTTATTGGCGCCAAACGATACAGCAATTATGATTTTAAAATGCTTAAAGTGTGTGGCCATCGGACGTTTAAGCGCTACACAAGTTATAATTATTGCCATGAAACTTTCGCTGTAAAGGCTCCTATGTGAAAAATGAACAAGCACAATAACAAGTGTGTTCATTTTATCGTCAATTATGCAGTAACAGTAATTGATGCTTTCAGTAATATTAACAAATGAACTACAGTCACTAAAATTTGTAAACCATAGCTTATTTTTTTTTAATTAAAAAACATTGCCCTTACTTTAGGATAACATTATCCAGAGTTGTAATGATGTTTTACAAACATAAATTTCACGTGGACAAACACCCAGATGCGAAACAACTATCTGTAGGCCGCACAAATAGTTGTCTCGTGTGAGAATCGACGCACGAACCCCGACGCCGAAGCCGAAACCTTGGCAACTGCGCCACAGAGTCATCAAAACATTGTTGTCGATAAATTCAACAGATTTATTGCATTAGATTTTATGACTTTTTCGGACTGACGCGACAGTGCTAAAGATTAAGATGATTCAAATTAATTTCGAAAAGTCCACAATTTATAAGCTGAATAAACACAATACTTAGTTACCAAAAACTTTAAAAATATTTTTGGTAAAATAATCACATCCATAAAGAAACTGCTGGTAAATTTATATGACTCTATTCGTTTAAACAATGTACATATATAACAAGTGAATTCATAATTAATGTATCCATGTATTATGAAACAATCGCTAGTCGTCCTAATACCAATAATATTTTTGTTGGTGAATTATTTATTTTACAAAAAGATAAGTTCACACTTGTACAATGAATACATACGTTTGAAGTAAAGAGGACGATAACATCAAAAAAAAAATAAGCGTGCTCACGTTGTAGAGCACGTGCGCGAATTTGATAACAGGGATAATTTTTCGTTATGAGTACAATGTGTTACGTGAATTGTAACAATAGCTGTTGTGGGGTGATAACCAGTTTTTTAATAAGTTAACTTTAGTAAGAAATGTAAAAAATGTCAAAAACGTTTTCAATAATTTATTGAATTAGATGCGAAAAACATTAATTAGCAAATGTCTGTACATGCGGCAAATAACTTAGCGGCCCCGTATGAAAAGTCAGCTCGCACTTCTAAGAAAGACTCTAAAAGAAATTCTTTAATCTTGTGTACGAATTTAACGGTGCACGCAAAGCAAATTTTAAAACTGTTATATTTTAAACTCGTTTCTACACAGTATAATGTAAGATAGAAAAATCATAATACCCACTCTCTAATATGTTTTGAGCGGCGGTAGATCTTGGGCCAATTTATTTTCACCGTACGCAAAGTTTTATCCTTGGTAGAGGCCGGTCACAACTCAATAATCAATGGTAGGAGCACGTGACGGTCCTACCCATTGCACTAATGGGCAGGTCCGTCCGGGTAAATACCACGACCAAACCAAACACAAGACTCGCGTGATGAGGTACTATTGTAGTTCTGCGTTTCGTCTGATTAGTGAGGTAGCCGCATCCATATTGCTGTTGCAAATATCAACGGGTAGCGGTTATCACTTTACATCACGTGAACTGCCAGCTCGTTTGCCACCTTATCACATGAAAATACCTACCTTCTCTGCCGCGAATGCCCATGACGTGGGTACAATTCCCACAGCGGCGACAATCTTTTCGTACTTTTTCTACATGTTTTAATGTTCAATCTTAAGTGCAGAGATTAGCACTATAAAACACTTTAAAATTTACCTACCTTCTCGTTAATCGTGTTAAGTGTTAAGTTTAATTATGATTCAATACACCCATAAAATATGATATGCAAAGCTTTAGCAGATTAACAATAGTCCTGACAAGAAAATTACTTGAATTAAGCAACATAGCATGTCGTTTTGTGTTTTATAACGATAACGGGTTTGTTTTTTCTCTTATCACGTTGCAATTAATCCAGGGATGTCATACACTTGATTGATGCATTTTTTTGTTTTGCATTAGTCTCCATTGTAGGTAGGCAAAGGGTATTAAATTTTATCTAAATCGATGCTTATTGCTGGCTCGATTGGCATAATTGCTATGTTACGTACCTCCAAAACGCTGGTTATGGTTTCTATTCCCTTCGCGATTATATTTATTTGACCTTTTTTTATGCGCGAACGTGGCCAGCGAGCTGACGGCTTACTTGATCCGCCTGATACCTGATAACCGCCGCCCATCGACAATTAGAATACCGTAGGGTTGCAGATGCTTTTCCACTTTTTTATAAAGTGAGCCGCGGCTCCCTCACTCACCAGACAAAACGCAGAAGTATAATAGGTCCTTTTCACGTCGGTCTTCTGTGGGGTCGTGGTACTTATCCGGTCTGACCTACCCATTCGTGTTACAGCCGAAGCTGACACATGGCCCTGCCACCATATTTTTTGAATACCAGTCTTACTACTACTACGGCACTACGCCCGAGCGACAGAACGTTTGGCGATACCGTTAACAAAGTTCTATGGTTTTATAATTAAACCTTTCCTTGACTAGGACCATGCCCTAGAAATAATCATCACACGCGTCCCAATCACTTCGTCCCTTAATTCACAGGCCCACTGAAAACCAGCGCTGTAATCTCATATCGACTGCAGCTAGAACTATGTTATATTTATATAGTTGTGTTCTCTGCTATAGGTCTTTACGAAGACTGCCTAATTTTTTTCCCACTGCTACTAAGGTTTTTTTTTATGTGAAAAGTTGCCAAACGAGCTGACGGTTCACCTGATGTTAAGTGAATACCGCCGCCCATGAACATCTGCTACACCCCAGGGTTTGCAGATGCGTTGACAACCTTTTTGGAAATTGGGCTCCGGCTACCTCACTCACCAGACGAAACGCGAAAGTATTTCTCATACTTCCACTTTACGTCGGTCTTCTGTGAGGTCGTGACCTCACAGAAGCTCCTGCCCATTCGTGCAACAGCCGAGGCTGCTGCGTGGCTCTACCACCGTTATGGTTGCTCTCGCTCATTCACTACTTCTGCTCATTCTTGACTATGCTGCTATTTGCTATCTTGACATTATCGAAGTACAGCTTAGTTAACTTGACCTGGTTCAAAATTTATGCCTTCGATTCATATTTGGCCTACGTAAATATCATGTTTCCGATTTTCGTACACAGGTCAAGTGGCTCCCAATCCCCCTTCGCAGGAATATCCATATTCTCTCTGCTTTCTACAGCGTGTTTTTTAATCCCTATACTCCTAAATACTCAAAAGAGAATACAGTATTGTTGGAGCAATCGCAGTATGTAAGTGCCCATCAGTCGTGGACAGAAAACATTCCGATTCATATAAATAACCATAATCAATACAAAAATATGCAGTTTTTAAATGATTTAATAAAATACCCTACGTGTCCCAATGACGTCATTAACAGTTAATCTGGTTTACAGAGCAGCCGAGAGATGGCGCTCTACGTGTTGGACTGCATATTCTCCGTGACTGTAGTGGGTTCACTGGTGGTCTTCGTGTGGCGAGGGTCTTGGGCGCTGCTCGACATCTTCCTCTACCCCGATGATCAAGTCAGATCCTTCTGGACGTCTCTAGTGAGTACATAAACTGTTATTTAATTTTATTTTTGTACTCATAAACTGAGTACTCAAGTACTGTCTACTTGACTTTGATCATCTCATCCGATAGTAAGTTAAGATTTCTGGTTAATTGAATGATTTTTGTTAAAATTCATCATAATTTGATAAATTTACATAAATTTAGTAAAAGCAGACATTTTATAAGAGCGTATATAGAGACAGAACTTGCAGTCTGAATTTATATCTTTTGAAACACCATTCGAATTGTGTTCCAAGACAAAAACTGATTGTGATACAACGAAGTCACAGTCACAGTATTTGATGCAACCATGATTATAGGTGAGGCTTATTATATACGAAACTGATAAACTTTTACTCATGATTTTTTCAAAAGGGTTGCCTACATATGATTAGAACAAGCCGTTTACTACCGATTAGACCGGATTAAATAGCTGGTAAATTATTAGAATAATTTGAACATTGGTTTGAAAACTTCATATTTACTATTAACATCTTTTGTAATAGTATCAGCAAAGAATGAGGCTTATATCATACGAGTTTTATTCCTGCCCTGCCCTTGCAAAGAAACTCAAAAGACCCGGCTTCTCGCGAGTAGTACTAGTTGTGTAAAAAAAAACTGCTGATCCGATAGCTACCAATCTCCCTGAGAGCACCTCTGAACTAATCTGATGATTGCCCGAAGATGTCGTCGAAAGCGGTCCAGCCGTTTTAGGATTCATATCGAGCATGCAAACATACATACATACGTCGAAATAGACAAATTCCTTTCATGTTTTCAATACCGTTAACAATTACATCGACGTTACACGATTCACGGCAAAAGACGGTGTTACACTGGACCGAGCGTTGGAAAAAGAACTCATTATCCCGCATGTGGGTCATACGCAGTTCGCCACTGAGTCAGTGACCACTTACAGCGAGCAATTGGTGCTTCCTCTGCGGGCTCGTGGCCCCCTCTTGCCCGTGCCGCTCCGGCCGCATGTTGTACGCCATTATTTCTTGTTTATAAACGTGCTTCAAACTCTAAGGTCAACACTTGAATCCCTATAAAATACTGCAGGCCCAAGCTTTAGACAAAAAGTTTGAACGTAGAGCAATTAACGGTAATTTACTTTTTTTATACTGGAGCAAGTAAAGAACAGATATGGGTTTATTTTTATTCTGATCTACGCAAAAAAGCTTCGGGCATCTTGAGCTGGTAGCAGTATTGGTGTGCTTGGAATTAATTTATAAATTATGGGATCCCAAACAGTTGATAAACCCCAGATATCTTCTCTTTTGAATTCTCTTCTCATCTTCGGATGTTTTTTTGTTATGAACACCGATTCATCCTAAGGATGATCCTTGGGATGAATCGGTGTTCTTTTCCGAGGATTTTCAGGTTGTTAAATATAACATAATGGTTGGGGCGATCTAAAATATGATCACAAACTGCACACTTCTTCAACTGCCGGTACTCTGTCATTTTCTATACTAGTCAATCAGAACTCAAGGTATGGAGCGCGAATAAACTCCCGAAGACATCTTTTTGTCAGATCTCCAGACGACCTAGATCGGATTAAATGTATTGTAATTAAAACTGAGCTGGGCATTATTAAATTTGTCCCCCTTAGCAAATAATTCGATCGTTTAACAAATCGCCTTCATTATAAATAATTCTAGAGATCGAATTAATTTCCTGCTTGATAACTATTTGTGCCACAATGCAATTATACAACTATTAAAAACCAGCCAAGTGCGAATCGGACACGCACACGCAGGTTTCCTTACCATTATCTATAAAAATGGAAACAAAATAATGTTTATTGTACGGGAGCCTTACAATATACATATATAATTTAGTATTTGTTATCATAACAGCAAAAGAAATACATCATCTGTGAAAATTTAAATTGTCTGACTATCACGGTTCATGAGACACACATACACACAGCCTGGTTACAGACGGACAGACAGACAGACAGCGGAGTCTTAGTAATAGGGCCCCGTTTTACTCTTTAGCTGCGGACCCCTAAAAATTAACAAATGTTTGCAGGTAGTTTCGCGTGATACGCCATATTCCCTTCACAGCGTGACCTTGTACTGTGTCACGGCTGTCAAGTGCCACGTGGGCACAAATGACAGGAACACTTCGTCATCGACAGATCCCATTACACGGGCGACTCGATGTTTTACCTCATTAGTCTTCGTTCCTGAAACTGCGGTCAATGTTGGATAAATTGGATAATGGGGATGTTATTTTTAGAACTCACAAAGACGAGAGACTTCCGTACGAGAGGAGGAGGCCTTTGTTATTATTAATCCCTTATCTATCGCAAAAATAACAGTCGCTGGCGAGGTAGGAAACTAAGAAGATAATGATGATAATTATACGAGACTCAAAATTATTTTTCTAACTTAAAAGGCTAAATAAAACTGACAGATTAGTTTTTAAATTTCAAGATTACGTATATTTTTTTCCATCATTATAAGCAATTAACAAAAACAACAAAATGAATATCAGTTTCAGCATAAACCTTTTATACTATTAGTTATTTATATTTTAATTCTGACTATATTTCTCATTTAAGCATAAATACCTTGTTGAGACTTTATACTTCAAAATATTGTCATTTCGTCCATTGATCATATTTTACATAATTGACCTAGCTTGATAATTATTTGCCTTCATTTAACACGGAAATCGTATATATGTATATATATATATATGTATATATATATATATATATATATAAGCTACACGCTTAGATAGCGGAGTACTACCACCGGTTAGTTCAACACACGAATGCATTTCCGCGAACCCGCACAGACAGATTCTTGGAGCGTCTATTAATGAATCGGAACCGTCAACTTTTATCGGGTGTTTCCACGCGCCGGTAAACAAAACCTATCGTTGCGTGTTTACAAACAAGTGTCGCTGAGGTTGTAACAGCAAAGCCGATCGTTAAAGGATTACCAGCCGTTGCCCGCCACCTGTTGAACAGTTCGATAAGGAAGTTGTGTGTTGGCACAGCATTTACGTTAGGCGCCGCGCTATCAGTGTTTGTGTTTACGTCTACAGCTTTGTCACACAATTAGATATCGTTAGCCACAGCTTATAGTATTGTTAAGCAATGAACTTTCCAGGACCGATCGAATGATGCTATATATTAGAAATAATTACGGAAAAAGTATTCATTATCCATTGGAAATTATAAAAGAACCGTAGTATAATATAAATACGTCTTGTCGACGAAATTCTTGACGACGCCATTGTGTAGAGTTAATACCATTGATACTTACGTAGGCTAAAATAAAACTATTATACTATGTTATATTTTAAACTGATATTTTTAAAAAAGACCGACTGCCATTCCTGACGATCTCTTCTCAACAAAAACTGCTTTCCGAACCTTTGGTAACTTACGAACTTATGTATTATTTTCTATGTAAAATTCTATTATGAATTATTCTATTTGAATAAAGTTAGGAATTTTGATAATAATGTCTTGTATTTACTCGATTAGACATTACTAAATGATCATTTTGTTGGTATTTTGAGTTTTTCAGTAATATAGATAGACAAAATGATTTTAGTTACGTACGAGACTGTTGAAATGTTACTCCATAACTTTTTCACATCTAAGGTAGATTTCTTCTTGATTTATTTATCTTTTTCCATTTATCAATCAATAATTTAATCAGTTCTCCCAAATTGAATTTGTCAAAACAAAGACAACTAACGCTATCTGTAATTATGAATACTTGTCGCACCCAAATGATCCAATCACATAATATTTTTCAGCAAATAATCACATTTAGCTACTATTTATAACTCGATTACAAATGAATTCACTCATGTTGTTCGGCGTGATAAGGGAGAATGATTTATTACGGTTTTTCTATGAATCTTAGAAAAATGTTCAACAGTCTTAAGACGAAGCGAAGAAAATTATGTTTATAGGCCATTGATTCATTGTGCCTACAAACATTGATAAAAATTATTGACTTTAAAACAAGGAGATAAAATTTTAGCTGGTTATTTTCTTTGATTCTGTTTTTTTTTTATAACAAGCAGTTAAATTTATTTAAAATTTATAAATAATCCAATCTAAAATTCTAAAATCATCATTTCTGACAGATTCATAAATCCAACTTAAAGAAACTTTTAGATAAATCCAAATAAACGAAATAACGAACAAAAAGCCGTTACGTTATATAAAGGTCTAAACTTATATATTTAATATGAGATTTGTGATAAATATCTTAAAAATATTACTTCCTCGTCGATAATCATACGTAGATATAAGCGTTGATTCATTTCATTTAAATTCTTATCGTTTAATGATGTGCGACAATATCCGATAAAAATGTACTCGTACGTAACATAAAATTTGGCGAGACTTTTTATTTAACGTATCATGACGCATCAAAATATAAAAAAGCGCTTACGCTTTTTTACGAGTGATTTACTTACCACCAGACGTTTTACGGGTGTTACATGATTACCACCGCCCATGTATTTACGATGCCTGAAGGTTTTATTTTGCTTATTAACATACCTGATGGCTGAACTCTGATTGGTCTGATATGAAAATTCCTTATTATATTTCTGGAAAATTCTTATCAATGATTGTCAATATATATCTGGACCTATAGAACTTATTCCAATTACCCTTTTAACCTTTCCGCTCCCATCAAATGGTTATTAATGCTCGTATTAACTTTTTGTATTTGCGATTTCATAATTTATAAAACATATACCAACCTCATAAAATCGGCCCTGGCGTACAACACAATCAAGAGCCGTGATAGCTCAGTTTTCGGGCGCTCGCCTTTAATTAAATATATATATTCGAGCAACCTGAGTTCGATCCCCGGTGCCGGCACCAATGAAGTTTTTAACTTTAAGTGCTGACTTATCACGTGCTCAGCGGTGAAGGGAAAACATCGTGAGGAAACGTGCATATTTTCGAAATAATAACAAAAGAAATATATTTCGAAGATATGTGAAG